CTAGGTAGAATGGAGGGACTGGTCTCAATGGCCAGCTCTAAGTCTATGATGCCAGAGCTAGAAGAGACTTCAGAAGCCAACTTGACCAACCTTCCTATTTTATGGATGAGGAAACTGAGGCCCAAAGAAGTAAAATGACTTTCCCAAGGTCACACAGATAGTATCATAGGTGGGATTTGAATCTAGTTCCTTGGGCACCAGAGTTAGATTGAGAGCAGGTGGAGGCAGCTAACTCTGCAAATGGCTAAGTGGTAGGTCGCTTTGGTTTCTTCCTGGGATTCTGTACAATTGAAGGGAAGTAAATGCTTCCTAGGGCAGTTAGGTGGTTCAGTGGATAGAGCACTGGGCTTGGAATTAGAAAGGCTTATCTTCATGAGTTCAAACCTAGCCTCAGATACTTACTAGCTGTGTGACCTTGGGTAAATCACTTAACCCTATTTGCCTCAATTTCCTCATTCGTACAATGTACTGGAGGAGGAAATGACAAACTACTCCAGTATCTTAGACAAGAAAACCCCAAATGGGATCACAAAGAGTTACCATATTTCACCACATAATAGTTGCACCCTGGTTTTTTTTCCAGTCCAAAAACTGGTTTACAACCTTTCGTTTCGTAATCATCGCATGGTATAATTCTGTTTGCTGCTCTGTTTACTTTTTAAGTGGTATGACAATGTATTCATCAATGGCATATGGATACATACTTATCTCTCACTCATTGTGAGCTGTGAGCCTAGAATTCTCAGAGCACAAGCATTGCCAGTATTCAATTTTAATATATATTCATGAATATTCTGTGCATCCTATTCTTGTACCAAAGACAGTTTAGTGATAAATGAGTTTTAAGTAGTACCAGCACAAATTTTTTTAAATAAAAGCTTCATATAATGGTTGCACCTCCACCTTTTTGCAAAAAAATTGGCATAAAATTTTATGATTATGTGGTGAAATATGGTAGATAACAACTGAAAAGTGACTAAATAACAAAACAAAATGATTCCTACAATGCCAGTCTAACTAGATTGAGCAGGAGGGGGTGGGGCTGGGGAGAGAGGGAAGCAGGACACATTTTAAAATGACATTTCAGAAACCACCTCAAGCGGTGACAAGCTTCTGTCATGACCTTGTCCTTTAGAGGGTTTTGGGAAGGCTGACAGGGTTGCCTAGGACACAGTCCCTTTAGTCTCTGGACTTTAAATTCTTTATAGTTGTCTGGGAGGGAGGTAAGATTTGCCTTTTTAATCAGAAAACAAAACTTGTATTTAAAAAGAGAGAATCTCTCTGGCCTGGTACTTCACAGGATGGATGTGTAACCCTTGAGGATGTAGATTGAATGAGGCAAGCGGAGAGAGAAATAATAGTAGGGGAAAGTAGGTGGGACCCAAGTAAAGGAGCATCCGGGGAGGAGAGATGGGATGTGAGACTGTTTCTTTGGGTTGCTGGAGAGAAATATTTGAGTATTAACAAATTCAACTCCATTCAGCAAATATCAAGTACTTGATTCTCCATGGCCTATAGATGCCAGATTTTTTTTGGAATTTTTATGAATTCTTGGAAAGAAACAAAGAATGTTCATGAATTCTTGGAAAGAAACAAGCTTGACAGTTGGAAAGGAAGTATAATTTGTGATTAAGTGGTGGTCTTTCCAGAAAGCACTTGATGATCCATGGGATTTTGGTATAGGGAAGAGAAATAAATGATCCCTTGGAAAGTGTCACACACTCATTCAGTGAGAAGAGACTCATGCCAGGAAACTTGCTAGTTGGTCTCCATGCCACCATCTCCCCTACATTGCATCCATCCTCTATTCAGCTGTCAAACTGATATGCTTAAATCACACTTCTAACAATGTCATCCCCCTGACCCCACACACTGCTCTTCCCCACACCCCACTCAATAAATTCTAGTGGTTTCCTATCACTTCCAGGATCAAATACAAAATCCTCTGTTTCATCTTTACAGCCCTTCATAATCTGATCCCTCTTACCTCCATTGGTAAATGGACTAATACAATGACAGTGGCCTCTTGGCTATCCTTTACACAAATCTCCCTCTCCAGACTTCAGGCATTTTCCCTGACTTTGCCCCATGCCTGGGATTCTCTCCCTCCTCATCCCCTCCTCCTGGCTTCTCTGGCTTCCTTCAAGTCCCAGCCAAAGTCCCACTTTCTATAAGAAGCCTTTCTAGTCCTTCCCTCTGTCAATCACTTCCAACTTATCCTGCATATATCTTGTATATATGTATACACACCCACACACACACACACACACACACACACACACACACACACACACACGGTTTGTCCATAGTTGTTTGCCTTTTCCCTCCCCCATTAGACTGTGATCTTTTTGAGAGTAGTTTGCCTTTCTTTGTATCCCCAGCGCTTAGCACAATGCCTGACATATGGTGGGCACTTAGGTGTTTTAGACTAACTGATTATGATAATAATAATAATAGCGAGCATTTATATAGCACTTGAAAATTTGCAAAATGGTTTACCTATTTTATTTCATTTTTATCCTTACAACAACCTCGTTAGGAGGGTGTTGTTAATATTCCCATTTCATAGATGAGTCAACCGAGGCTGAGAGAGATGAAGTAACTTATACAGAGTTACACAACTAGTTAGTGACTGGAGGAGAATTTAAACCAGTCTTTCTGAAATCAAGTCCATCTCTTTATCTACTCTACCACCTAGCTCCCTTAAAGCGTAAGCCCCAACGTGTTGTGTGGGAATGAATATGGAACAAGGCACCCTGGGTGAGAAATATTTTGGCATACAAAAGAATATGAAAAGTTGAGTTATTTTTAAGGAAAAATCTGTTCAGAACCTAGAAAACACTAAAAGATGTTAATGGAAAGGAAATCACCAGTGAGCAGGAAACGCATGCCTGATTCCCAAGATCCTGGCTTTCTGCCCAGCAATCTCAGGAAATGGAGAGCATGTCTAAGATGAAGGATTCTTGTAGGGAATGCCAAGCACTCAGAAGAACTGAGCACCTTTCATACAAATGCCACTCATGAAATAGAGTTCCCCAACCCCTAGCCCCTCCAGTATTGGAGTTAGCTGGAATCTGGAAGGTGAGAGGACACTGGGAGGGAACATGTAGGCCCTTTGGGAACGGCCAGTGAAAACCTCAGGTTCAGGGACATAGAGGGGAATTATGAAAAGACAACCCCCCAGGGCCCTGTCTAGAAAGCATGATGTGAGTAAAGAGGCTTCATTGGGCCAGAGAGGGAGGCTAGTTTCTTAGCCAATATCCGGCTCAGTAGGAGCTACAAACAACAGGGGCTCCATTCACAGAAACTGGGTCTAAAGAATTATAAAAGCAGCTTGTTCCAGGACCTGACAGTTATAGGATCCTGGTATTTGGAGCTTTCAGTGTCGTTTGAGGTTGTGACATTGGTCTTACATGGGCCCCAGATCAAGACAGATCAGACAAGACAGGAATAGGGAGTTTGGAGGCATCATGGTACTAGGGAAAGATCATTGGACCTGAAGTCAGAAAGGGCCAGGGTTTAAGTCCTGGTTTATAATATTTACTAGCAGTGTGATCCCTGGCAAATCATTTAATTTCTCTGATGCTCTTTTCTCATCTGTAAAATGGGTATAATATTTTCATAACCTACCTCAGAGGGTAGCTTTGCAAACCTAAAAGTGTTATAAAAATGTGAATTATTATTTGGCCCTGACCACCATCTAGTTTGTACCTATGGCTGAGGTGATAAACTTGAGATTAAAGGTACAGACTGTGGATGGGAGGATGTGACGAAAGTTTCTTAAATCCCCTCTGGAGATCAGAGATTACTTCTCCAAATGTACTTAGTTATTTCTTTGTAAACATTTTGAAGATACAGTGAGTGACCACATGCAACACAATCCAGACAAAAGGTTAAGAAATAAGGGGCAGCTAGGTGGCACAGTGGATAGAGCTTTGGCCTTGGAGTCAAGAGGACCTGCGTTCAAATCCAGCCTCAGACACTTGACACTTACTAGCTGCCACTTAATCCCGATTACTTCACCAAAAAAAAAAAGATTAAGAAATAAAACTTTTTCATAATGGTTGATGTATTTTTTTCAGATTTTTATTGAAACCAAGTAGGGTTAAAATGAAGGAGACTGACTTATTTTGAAGCTTAATTTGCAATGGGGAAACCAACATTAATAAATAAATAATAAACCTTAATCTAATTATTACTGTGTTAGAAACCGGAAAGGACCTCAGACATCAGCCAGTCCAACTGCCCTATTTTACAGATGAAGAAACTGAGACCCAAGAAGATCCATAGGATCCTAGATTTAGAGCTAGAAGGGCCCTTAGAGTCCAACCCTTTCATTCTACAGATGAGACAACTGAGGTAGGCAGAGGTTAAGTAACTTCCCCAGGGTCACACAGCTAGTAAGTATCTGAGAAGGAATCAAACTCCAATTGCCCAACACTATTTGCTATGCCAACAAACTGAATAAAGCCATCTGGAGGAAATGACTTGTCCTGTTTTGGGTCTTTATTTAGTACAATTAATCTGTGAGTCTATCTGGAAGCAGCGGATTAATAAAATGACCTGGGGAAGCTGAGAGGTACAGGGAATAGAACATTAGATACGCAGTTAGGCAGATCTGAGTTAGAATCCTGACTTAGACACTTGCTGTGTGACCCTGAGCAAGTCACTTACCCCTATCTGCATTATAAAATGGTGGTATTTTGTGAGGGTTGTTGTGAGGATCAAATGAGATAATATTTATAAAATGCCCAGTGCAATGTCTGGTACATGATGGGTGCTTAATAATTGCTTATTTCCTTCCCTTTTTTGGGACTTATTTTATAGGTGAGGAAACCAAGGCCCAGAAGGGGGGGAGAGGTGACTTGCCCAATTTTGGAGCCTTGCCTTGGATGTTTTCTTGCCTAGTGTAGAAGCAGTGGGATGGATAAGATGACCTTTCAAAGTCTCTGCCCAGTGAGTGTTCCAGATGGCTCACATTTTTTCCCCTTTATTCCCAGACTACAGAGCTCTTCATGGAGCTGGTGTTCGAGTTGAGGGGCTTGTCTGCTGAGGCACTGATGGATCTCTGGCAAAGATCTTCATTTAAGTGCAGAGACAATTGGTAAGAGGCTGTTTCCCAGAGCAAAGGCCCTGGGGAAAGATCAGGATGGCTTTGCCTGGGCTTTGAGATTCTTCCGGGTGATCTGGGAACTGCCTCATGTGTGATTTGGATGCCACAGGGATAGATAATAAGATTCCTCCATCTGTCTCTCAGCTTGTCTCCTCTGAGTGACACTGACCTGGGACTCACTCTCCAGACTTTGGGGTATGTCTTGGGAAGTCTGCCAGGAAGGCAAGTCAGGCAGGGTAACCCTGAGTTTCCCACGGACCCCAGCACTGTCCTGTCACAGAATAGAGAGCTAAAGGGCCAAGATACATAAAGGCTGGTATTGTTCCCTCCCACAGAACAGGACCCCCTTGCTCAGAGATGGAATTAGCATTCAAATATATCTTGGATACCATTCCTGGGGAAAGGACTCAGGAAGAGGGGGAAGATAGCAGGATTGGGGTACATGTCTAACATGCCCAGCCATGGGAGTCATTCTGCTAGCATCAGCACCTGCTATACACAGGAACTCTCTGGCCAGCAAGTAGAAGCCATGCATGGAGAGAGAGCATAAACACTGGAAGAAAACTAAGAGGGAATAGGTGAACTGGGTGGCCCCATCTGGCTTGCCGTCTAAGCAGACTCGCTAAAAGGCACACCTGCGCACTGGGCTAAGGCCAACACAGAAGGAAGGCTCCAGACTTGTTGCTCTACCCTCTTAGAGGTCTTTGGATGATACCGTTCCAATCATAGCAGCCTTTTGGGGGTGCCATTGGGTACCATGGTGGATCATGATGTAGTCCTGATTCTGTGAGGTTGGTTGCCTCTCTTGGGACATTCATTTTTCTCTACTGCTCTGCTTCTATCTAATCAAAGAGTTTTTCAAGGCAGATAACCTCTTCAAAAAGCTTTCCATCTCTTTTCACAGTTCTTATTTTGGAGACCCAAGTCCTTAATAGTGCTATGAATGACAAAGGTCTTTGGAAGACTGTACAAACAGGATTCAGTCATGTTGCTGTTTGTTGTTGTTATTATCCAAAGTCCCACAGTCAGTAGGTTCTGCCTCTGGTTGCTGACAATGGAGCATCTCTGTTTTTCTCTTGCTTTCTTGGAAGAATGGCCTGTGATTGACACTTGCCAGTGCTAATGAGTCAAAGAGGCTCACCCTCAGGCCCTACTGCCCTTTGTGTTTTGAGAAAAGGGATTTCTGAGAGATTCATTCCCCTCTATGCTGTGACCTCAAGATCCTAAACCTTTGCATTCATTTCCCACCATCCAAAGCTACCATTCAACAAAGGTTATACTTCTAGGTTTGTTTTCTAACTCTCCAAGCCAGGTCACAGTCTCTTGAAGTAGATGCAGTTTGATGGAAAGAACACTAGGCTTGGTATCAGAAGATGTGGGTGGGTTCAAGCCCCAGTTCTGCAGGGAAGGGCAACTCTGAGTTTCTCATGAGCCCCAGCACTGTCCTGTTGCAGAATAGAGCCATTAGTTACATGAACTTGAACAAATCACTTTACTGCTATGAGCCTCAGTTTCCTCATCTGAGAAATGGAACTAATAATGCCTGCCCTGCCATTCTCATAGGATTCAATAATTTTTTAATAATTTGCAAGCATCAAATAAGTTCCAGTATGTGAAAGTATTTTGAAAATTGATAGGCTGCATGGATGGAGTACAAAGAGTAAGCCTTGAAGTCAAGAGGACCTGAGTTTAAGACCTGCCTCTAAGACAAACTAGCTCTATGACTATGGACAGGTCACTGGACTCCTCAATGTCTCAGGCAACTCTTAGGTTATAAGAATAGATGAGTTATACTGGTAGAAGAAGCTCCCACACCGTGAATGTTCTTTATGCCAATGAAATCACAGATTATAAGATCATAGACTTGAAGCTGGAATGAACCTCCATTTTATAGATGAGGAAAACGAGTCACAAAGGGGTTCAGTGACTGGCCTATGGTTACACAGCTAATAAATGTCTGAGAGGATTGGAACTTGAAGGCTACCACTCTATTCACTGGTTTTTGTTGTTATTCAGTCATTTTACAGTCGTATCTGACTCTTTGTGACCCCATTTGGGGTTTTCCTGGCAAAGATACTGGAGTGGTTTGCCCTTTCCTTTTCCAGCTCATTTTACAGAAGAGAAAACTGAGGCCAACAGGGTTAAATGACTTGTCCAGGGTCACACAGCTAGTAAGTGTCTGAGGCCAGATTTGAACTCAGGAAGATGAGTCCGAGCCCAGGGTTTGAGTCACTGCATCACCTAGCTGTCCACTTTATCCACTATTCCACACTAGACTCAGACAACTCAAAACAGTAGAAATGCCATGGGGTCTTATAGTTCCCAAAAGGGAGAGGCTCACAAAATTAGGTGTTTAATTGTAAGCAATTTAGTCATAGTTTATTTAATGTGCTAAAAGACTTTTCATCAGTCCTTGTTCCCTTCCCACCAGCATCAGTTCGGATGCAAAAGCACAACCAAATGCTGGATATATTCCTGAGGTCCTGTGTTTCCTGAAGCCATCTTAATTCTTGGGGAGGTATCATGGTGGTGGGGATGGCTTATGTTGATGATGACCATTGATTGGCCCATGGCTGTTTCAGGCAACCCCTGGTGGATGCTCTGCCCTCCTGTGGAACAGAGGCTTGTGTTACCCTCATGAAGGAGCTCATCATGTCTGGGGATGTGGAAAACGAGGAGGCAGAGTCATTCCTCTGGTCCTTGGCATTTGTCCCTCAGCCCACAGCTGGCATGATTCATTTACTGCTGGTGAGTAAGCTTCCACCCCCTTTGTCTAGACATGACCCTGATGTTCTGTGGATTATTCAAGAAGGCATATAGTGGCCCCGACAATGAGTCTGACAACCTACGTAAGACAGACTAGAGAAATCCCTGTGATGCCAGACTGAAAGCCAGACCTTCCAAGTTCGTCTGGTTATTGTGTCTACCCTATTCTTTTAAAGTATAAGTGGTAGGATCTACCCCCTCCCCCATAGGATTCATAGATTTAGATCTGTAAAAGGACCTTGATGAAGGGACTAAGGCCAAGAGAAGCTTAATAAGTCATTAAGCTTAATGACTTATACAGGGTCACATGGCTAATAGATATCTGAAGCAGGATTGGAACACAGGTTTTCCTAATTCTAAGTCCACCACTCTATCCACTATACCATCCTGCTTCTCAATCAACCCTCTCATATTATAGATGAGTAAAGAAGGTCCAGATAACTTGTATTGTCCACTGTCGGACAAATAATAAATAGCAGAGCTGGGATTTGAACCCAGGTCCACCAGACCAGAGTGAAATCTTTAAATGCCCTCTGGGGAAGTGACTCAGCATCTGTTGTCCTGTATTTATATTTGGGAGTTAGTGATGATTCTGAATTATCCAGGGCTATAGCTGGAATGAGAAAAGACCATATCTACATCAATTTGGACCTTGTTGAATGATTCCTAGTGTGAGAGTTTCAGTAAGCATTTGATAGGATTGTAGAAGATACGACATTATCCTTGCTAAATGTGGCATCTTGAAGGATGAGCCCATAAAATTGGGGCTGATCTCTGGCTTGTCTCTTTGATCTCAATATGGGAGGAAGGCTCTCCTTGTCACTTGTGTGGGAGCCTTTAGTAGCTCTGGAATTAGAAGTAGAGGGCATTTCTGACAGAGAAGAATACTAGTCATGTGTGTGGCAATGTCTAAACACTGGGCAGAGAGTTCCCATAAATGATAGTTTTGATGTCCAATTTTTCCTTCCTGTTTCAGATTTAACTGTATACTTCTAGCCTTCCCCCCTTCCTTTCCTTCCAATAGCCCCCTTTTGCCTTTGTTTCCACCTCCACCCCCAAAGCATCAATCTGTCTCGCTTTCCAAGTGTCTCCTTCCTTAAGTTTGCATGGCTGGCCAAGAGTGTCACTGGAGGTCAGGACCTTGGATAGAGTATTAGAGAGGTGTTGAGTTCTAACTGAAGCCTGAGGACAAGGAGCTCCGATTTAGGTTTTTCAGTCTCCACTACATCATCAGGATGTGTTCAAGCTACCAAGGAGCATAGCTAAGATAAATTACTCCAGAGAATTGCCTCTAATCCTGTCTCTGTTCCCATAACATGGTTTGAACTCTAGCTCATGAGCTTGGACCCATTAGAAGCTATTTTAACCTAGGAAAGTAAGGAGCAAGGGATATCTAAAATCATAGGCAGAAGGGAAAGTTTTCTGAGATGACAGAATGTAAGCTCACTGAAGCTGAGGACTCTTTAATTTTTATCTTTCCATCTTTAGTCCTGTCACAGTATCTGAAGCATAGAAGAACTTAATAAAAGCCTGGTGATTAATTTATAATCTCTATTTACCTTTCCAGATTGTTATAGAGAAATCACTTTGTAAGTCTTAAAAAGGCCATATAACAGTAAATTAAGAATTCAGTTTAATTCAACAAGTACCTCCTAAGGTCTTCCTATATATCAAGTATTATGCTAGATCCTGAGGATACAAATACAAAAATGAAAATAGTTGTTGCCCTCAAGAAGCTTACATTCTTGAAGAGCCAGGATTCGAATACAGGCATTTATCTAAAGCTCATCTCCAGTACATTATACTGTAGAGCTCAACCTACTAGGGCAAAGAAAGGGCCTATAAAAAAGCATAGATTTTCCAGTGGAAGTTTAGGAAGGGAAATTCCTTTACCATAAGGAATATACATTAAGAAAAGAGAAAATAAATGTAGAATTATAATTACAATATGAGGAGAAAATTGAGGGGGATCATTATTCAATATGGAGCTATCTTGTGGGATTAGCTTCTCAAATGTAGTTTTGTTCAAGTAATTGAAATAAATCAAATGGAAGCTAGTTATATGAATTGGAAAGGAAGCATGCACATTTTGTCACTTTAGGGCTGAGACTGCTTACCTGAGTCAGGATGAGAATCCAGAAAATTTGACATCTGGTATGAAGGGTTAATAAGTGATCATTTTGTGTCAATTCAGAAAATAAAAATGTACATTTGTGTGTGTGTTGTGTATAAAACTAAAATCACCCTGAGATTTGATGATGACTGTAATGATGAAAGGACAGAACGAATCCCTTGGCATTTCCTAGTTTTGTTTTGTTTTGTTTTGTTTTTTTTAAGTCTGTGCATGAAGAGAATTGTGCTGCAGCATTCGTGGGGTCTCACGCTAAAAAAAATCTAGTATTACTGATCCCCCAACTCACAGCACCAATTTCTCCATGTACTTACTTGCATATAATTCACATTGTAATCATTTCACATCAGGATGCATAGAATTCCCCTCTATCTTTTAGTCATAGGATCATAGATTTAGAGGTCATTGAGTCCAACTGCCTCATTTTACGGATGAGGAAACTGAGACCTAGAGAGACTAAATCACTTGTCCAGGGTCAACTAGGTAAATAAGTGATTGCAGCAGGATTCAAACCTAGGTATTTCTGACTCCAAGACAAACAACATAATTACTCAATTGCACTGTCAGTGGTCTATGAGACACTCTCAAAGTGAATGGGAAGAAGCCATGCTGTGCTCTCCTATAATGGGAGGTTTTCAGTATATTTCTGAATACCTGCATGGAATGGCAATGCAAATGGCAACCAAAAAACCTGACAACATTAAGAGGGGAATAGTGCCCAGAATTGGGGCAGGTAAGTGGCACAGTGGATAGAGTACTGGGCCAGGAGTCAGGAAGACTCCTGTTCCTGAGTTCAAATCTGACCTTAGACATTTGCTAGCTGTATGACCCTGGGCAAGTTGCTTAACCCTGTTTGCCTCAGTTTCCCTCATCTGTTAAAAAAATAACTTGGAGAAGGAAATGGCAAACTACTCCAGTATCTTTGCCAAGAAAAGCCCAAATGGGGTCATGAAGAGTCAGACTGAAAATGACTGAACAGCAACAACTGAAAATGACCGAACTGCAGCAACAAAAGTACCCAGAATCAGAGAAAAGATGAGAGTTCCAGATCACATTTGGAATATCATGTTCCCCTGTGGGTACCACATTTTAGGAAGGACACACTCACACTGGAGGAAGTCCAGAGAAAGAGAATCAACCACAATGATGGGAGTGATGGGAAAGGGTGGGGGAAATGGTAACAATACTGCATGAAGGTTGGTGAAGGAATTGGCATTGCTTAGTCTGGAGTAGAAAGAAATTATAAGGATTTAACAGTAGCTAGCATTTATATAATGCCTTAAGGCACAAGTACTATGTCATTTTATCCTCTCGATGACTCTGGGAGTTAGATACTATTATTATCCCCATTTTACAGTCAAGGAAACAGAGGCAAAAAAGGTTAAGTGACTTGTCCAGGATCACACGTATAATAAATGACAGGCTGGATTTGAATTTAGGTCTTCCTAACTCCAGGTCCAGTGCTCTGTTCACTGTACCACCTAGCTGCTGCTTATATAACACTCTGAGGTTTGCAAAGCATTTTATGTATATTCCTTCAGTTAGTCCTCAGAATTACCCTGTATCCTACATGCATGATTATTCTCATTTTTAGCTAATAAAACTGATTCTCGAACAGGTTAAGTTTTTTGCCCATGGTCAAATGGCTAGTATAAATCTGGGGTAGAATTCCCTGAACCAGTACTGTATTCACTCTCCTATACAGCCAAGAAATACAACATGCAAAGTAGATTATGATAAGTACAGGAACCACCACCTACTAGCTTAAGCCCTCATCGCCCCTCACCTAGACTGTGGACCCACAGCCTCTAGTCTCCTCCTCCTCCAATCTGATTTCCAAACAAGTGCCAAATGGATATTCCCAAAGCACAATAGTGACTGTGTCACTCAAGAAGCTTCAGTGGCTCCCTCTTACTGCTAAGATGATGTACCCACTCCTGTGCTTGGCTTAAAAATGCTTCATGATCTGTCTCCATTGTCTTTTCCCAGGCTTGCTGTACATTATCCTCTATCACACACTCTACATTCCAGTCTAAAGGCTTGCTTACTCTTCTCAGTACAGGGACCTAACATCTCCTGACTCTATAGCTTTGCGTAACAAGCTTGGAATAGCCTTCTTCCCTTCATTTTGCTCCTTAGAATTCCTAGTTTCCTTCCAAGCTCAACTCAACCACCTCCTCCTACAGAATGCCTATCCTGATTGCTTCCTCTCTCCCACCCCTAGTTGCTAAAGCCCTACCCCTGGAAATGACTTTGTATAGATTTTAGAACGAATTTTCTACATATGTGTTGTTTTCCCTAACAGACCATAAGGTCCTTGAGTGCAGGGAATGTTGTTTTTTTTTCCCTTTTATTCCTAATATCATGCCTGGGACACAGTTGGTGCTTAAATGCTTGTTGAATGGATAAATAAATGACAGAACTACTACTACTACTAATAAAATAGGTAACATTCATATAGCACTTTAAGGTTTTCGAAGTGAAAAAAATTTTAATATTTGTAAAGTGCTTTATGTATAAATATCATACACTTTAATATATGATATATTAAAATGTCATATAAATATATAAAAAGCTTTTATACAAAATATATCACATAATAGATATTAAAGATATATGAAAAATAATCTGTCATATTTTACATAAACACTGTATATATCATTATTTAATTACATACATATATTACATACATTATTTAATTACATACATAGATATACACAATCTCCATCTATCTTGCAATGTGATGAGAGTTTCATCCTCCTTGCTCTCCCTCAGGACAACCTTTCTTCCCTAAAGAATAGTCCCATCAAGTGGAGCAGAGATAGGCAGCAGAACATTCTCCTAATTACTTCTCACTTGACCCCTTGTGAGGCCTACCTGATGTCAGTCTGAAATCTGTGGTTTGTGTATGAGGAGCAGGGTTCTAATGTTAGAGTCTGTTTCTGTTTCCAGCCTTTGCTGCAGTCCCCAGCAGTGAGTTCAAGTGCCTTTCTCAGCATCTCTGCCCTGGTGCATAGCCTTTGCATGGCAGGTGGGGCCTGTGAGAGACTCCCAGGGGTGAGCTCATTAATGAAGATCCTTAAAGAAGCCTTAGGAGAGAACTGTAGCTCTCAGGTATCCAAGGACAGTGGCCGGGTAAGGAGATCTGAAACCTGGAGGGATTGATACCAATGTATAATGAGAAAGATTAAGGTAACACTGAGTGGGGAAGTAAGAAAACAGGGCAATGACCACAGTGGTGGCTGAACTGTCACAAATTCTCCTGAGGAATTGGAATAGTTCAGCATTGGGAATGCTTCTTAGCCTGTAGCTTGTGCTGGGGCTGTGCTATCCTTTTCCTTGGACTGAACACAGTGTGGGTGGGGATGCCCTCTGCCCCCGAGCAGTTCGATCTTTGTCCTCTGAAGGCCTGGTCCTTCAAAATTCTCTTTCTTTGGGCAGCAAGTCATTTGAAGGGCTTCTTAGCCCTGTCATTTATCCCTTTGGTACCCCTCTCCATGAGTGAAATGGCTTCTGGAGAACATACTCCTCAGGGAAACTAAGGCTCCCTTTCTTTGGTGAAAAGTGGTCCCCACGGGAATTGACATCTACCTGCTTCTCATCCCCTGGATACTTGGGTATTTCACAACCCTTATACTGCATCAGGTCTGGAGGAATAGCATCCCTCTAGCAGATCCCATTCCTGCCTCCTCCTTATCCTGGGACCATCTTGCCAGGATCTGACTTCTCCTTCCTCTGTCTTTCTCTGGTTAGAGGATTGCTTTGGGAAGGAAGCACTCCCACCCTGGGGAAAAGCCCCCATGACTCCATCTTAGTTATGGCTCTGTGTGACTGGTAGGGGCTGGTCAATGCCCCTAACTTTTAGTCCTGCTCTCAACACACTTGCCTGTTTTGTTTCAGCTCCAGCTCATGTTAAAGGCCATTGGCAATGCAGGCATGGCAGCAGCCCCTCTCACTCCCATCCTGAGCTCCTGTGCAGCCATGAAAGACAATGCCCCTGAAATTAGGCTGGCTGCAATCCAGGCCTTTCGGAGGATCCCTTGTTCTGTGAAGGTGAGCTTCTCTTATGGTTGCTATGATTTATTGGCACCTGTGTTGTAATGGTGGAAAAGCAGTTCTCATTGAGCTGGAAGCTTCAGGTACAGCTCGGAGGTTTGGCTCTGTCTTGGCTCCTAGATGTTTAACCTTGGGCCTTAAAATGTGTTTGCTGAATTGAATTGAATTTATAAACCACTGAGTGCTCCACAAATGTGAGACATTCGTATCATTGCCATTAATCTAAATTGTATTGGTTCCTTACCATTCGCTTGTCAGCGCTCTGGGCTTGCCCAGCTGTACCAAGCCACAGAAGAAGATGCCGAGATCCGCATCACTGCCTACTACTTCTTTATGAAATGTCCCAGTGAAGAAGCATTTGCCTTGGTGCGTGAAACTCAGGCAGCAGAGCAGTCTACCCAAGGTCAGTGGAAGTGATTGGCTCCACTCCACAGGAATTAAGGGAAGAGCCAGCCAGTTCTAGACTGGGAAAACAATATTTCTGGAATGCATAATGGCATCCTGGAATCTGGCGGGCTTGGCCCACACAGACTGTAGAGTAGACTGTGCTCGGTGAATGGAAATAGATCACATTGGGGCTGATATGAAGCAAAATATGTTGAAGTTATAATAATTGTAAGTAAGAATCATAAGAAAAAGCCATTGACTTTCAGGTGGAAAGAACCTGAGAGAACATATAGCATATAGGGTAACTCCCATTTTTATAGATGAGGAAACTAAAAGTCTGAGATGTTGGGACTTGTCCTTGGTCACAAACATAGGACTAGAACACTGGTATCCGACTTCCTGTCTATACTTGTATAGTACTTTATAGTTTTTTTTTTCCCCAAATAATTTGCAGCATAATGTCTCTGGGCCTTGGTTTCCTCATCTACTTCATCTAAAGGGTTAGACTAGATGTCTGGACGTCCCTTCCAACACTAACTCTTTTATACTAAATTATCTCATTTGATCCTCATAATAACCAGAAACACAGAGAGACCTGGATTCTTACATTTTCCCCTCCCCTCCAAAACTAAGAAAATCCCTCTATCATAAAATGTTTTGGGAGACCATGAGTCTCTTTACCCTAAGGCTGAACTGACACGAAGCAGTGTTAGGATCCTAATTATGAGATAAATTTTCAGGTTTAAAAAAGGCCCTTTGGCTTCCATTTTCCCAGAGAAGGGCACAGGCTTTGGAAACAAGTTACTGGGGAAGCACTGGTATGTAGGGATATATAGTCTTTTTTTTTTTTTTTTTTTTGCAGAGTGGGGGTACTGAGATGCTTGGTATCTCTCTTTAGAATCATAGAATTTCAGAGTTGGAAGGGATTTTAGAGGCCATTTAGTTCAGCCCATCCATGAATAAGAATTTCTCCAATGTTCGCAGTAAATTTGAACCCAACATTCCACCAATCCATTATGGATCCCTTGCCTTGATGACAGCTAGTGAGAAGGAACCCACTGTTTCTCAAGGCAGGCCATCCCACTGTTTGACAACTCTAATTATTAAAATGTTTCTCCTTTCACGGAGCCTAACTTTTTTTTTTTTGCAACTTCTACCTATGGCTTCTGGTTCTGCCCAAATCCTTGTTGCACATGAGAGCCCTTCTAAAACTTGAAAAAGCCATCCTGTCCCCTTTAAGGCTTTTCTTCTTCAGACTAAACATCCCTTGTTCTTCCACCTGATAATTATATGGCACAATCTCAAGGATACTGGCAATCTTGCTTTGCCATCCTCTAGATGATCTCCAGTTTCTCAATGTTTTTCCCAAAATATGGTTCCCAGACTTGACTTTGTAAGTATGTTGCTTTCTTCCTCACTGATTATCCCATTCCTTATCCTGCCTCTCCCTGGCTCCAGTGGGAGCCTTCGTCTGGAGCCACCTCTCTCAGCTGCTAGAGACTGATGACCCTCTCAAACATTCTCTTCGGGACTCCCTCCCCGATGATATCCTCAGCCAGGAATTTGAATCTGAGACCTGGAAACATTCCTCCTATTCAGATGTCACCTTTCGCTCAGGTATGATCAAACCCAATCAGCTCGCTTTTTTTCTCCTTGTTAACAGTTCTTGGAAGAGGTTTGATGGAACCTCATTTTGGACCCTCACAACCTGGCCCCAACCTCCTTTTTTTTTTCCAGTCAAAGACAAGGTTTATTAGAACATCCATCATATTGGGCAAACTCTTAAAGAGTCTGAACATTAGTAAGCTATTGGCTAGATTTTAAGAATCTGAGCAGTGGCTTGATTATAAGAATCAGAGCCCCAACCTCCTTTTCCTAAGCCTTATATCATATAACTCTCTCTTACAGACTGCATACCTCAGCCAAATAGGACTATTATTCATTGTCTCCTGAATATGTTCCACCCTTTCCTGAGTTTGCTCACACTCAGAATCTTTCATCAATTATCTGCCTGTTGAAATTTTATCCCTCCCTCAAGGCTCAGCATAAATGCTAATTCTTCTACCAAGCCGTCCCTGATTCGTCTAGCCTGAAGTTTCTGTCTCTCCCATGCCTCTTGGATGTACTTACCACATTCTATTTTCTCTGGTAGTTGTTTGTTTATATCTTGTGTCTCTTAGTAGACTGTAAATTTCACAAGACAAGGTACTGTATTTTATTTATCTCTGTATCTGCCCTAGCACTTAATGCAGGCACGTGTCTAGAGGTCACTCCCAATAAATATTTATGTAATGAATGCATTCATGAGATTGGCTAATGTGAGAACTGGATTGTTCTAGGAAACATTTCTTCTCGGGATCATTTTACTTTTGGATCAGATCTGTGATTTTATTGGTACAGGGTATTCCCGGTAAGAAAACTTCCAATACAGATCAACACCTGTTTTTAGAGTTTTCTGAGACATTGAGAGATTAAATGACTTGTCCTCATCACACTACCAGTATGTGTTGGAAACCAAACTTGAACTAGGTCTTCCTGACTTCAAAACAATTCTCTGTGTACTATGCCACACTTCATCTCACACCTGCATTTGAACCAGGGACTTTTTGTTTTTATTGGGGATTATTAGTATTTTTTGATTAGCCACCCTACGGACCCCATTAGTCCAGCTAACATACATATGGGCATTGAATTAATGACTTGCATTTCCTTCTTTTCCCTTTATTATTTCTCTAACCTTTGTCTCTATGACCTGCTTAGATATCTGTTCTTTACTCTAGGAGAGAAGCAGAGGGGACTGAAATGAAGACCTTGCCCCTCTCATTGTCAGGACTTCCGGAAAGGCTGACTCTGCCCCTTGTTACATTAAACGCAGTTTCAAAGTCAACTGGTTACTTCAAAACAGTGCTTTGTTGTAGAAGGGAGATGTGAAGTGTGACCCTAATCTCTTCCTTTTCAGGCTCCAGCAGTATGGGTGCCAATCTGGAGGCTACTCTGTTATTCTCCCCAGCCTCCTTCCTCCCCCGCTCCCTCATGGCCAACCTGACCATCCATGTCATGGGCCGTGCTGTCAACATTCTGGAGGTAAGGCCAGCATTTGTTTCACTTTTCATAATATCTCTCCTGGAGAGCAGGACAGACACCTAGGGAGGTCTCAGTGAGGCAACAGTAGCACAGCAGAAAGAATACTAGATTTAAAGTTAGAGGGGCTGCATTCAATCGATTAATCAACAAGTGTTTACCAAGTACCTACAATGTGTGATGTGCTAAGCACTGTGCAAGGTGCTGGGAAGTATAAGTATAGGGAATAAAATGATCCCTACTCCCAAGGAACTTAAATTCTTTTTTTTTATTCTTTCTTTATTTTTAACATTCATTAATTTTTTTTTTTGAGTTCCATATTCTTTCCCTCCTCCCTGCCCCTCTCCTCATTGCGAAGGCAAACAATATTAGATCAATTATACATGTGAAATCATGCAAAAACATTTCTTTATTAGCCATGTTGCCAAAAAAAGGCAAGAAAAATAAAGTGAAAAAATTATATTTCAATCCAAATTCAGAGTTCATCAGTTCTCTCTCTGGAGGTGGATAGCATTTTTCATCATGAGTCCTTTGGAATTGTCTTAGATCATCATGTTAATAAGTGTAGCTAAGTCATTGTTGCAATATTGCTATTACTGTGTACAATGTTCTCCCGGTTCTGCTCACTTTAGTTTGCATCAGTTTATATAAGTATTCCCAGGTTTCTTTGAAACCATCTTGCTCATCTTTTCTTATAGCACAATAGTGAAGGAACTTAAATTTTAATGGAAGAGGGAGAGATAACAGATAAATATAATATAGATAAAATACATAAATATAGTATATAAAATATCTAAATATAAATCAATAAAATAATATAAATAAGAAAATAAAATGTAACTAAAAAGTTAATAAGCACATATTCCTATTACACCTATCTATAGATATCTATATGGTGACAGAAGACAGAAAGTCATGTGACAAGGAACAACAAAATGTCCAGTTTGGCTGGACATTATCTGTGAATATAGATATCTATATCTATATCTAGATAGACATTGATATATAGACATAGATATCTACGTAGACATATTATAGATATATCTGTATAGATAGCTATAGATATCTAGAGATCTATATTTAGATAGCTAGATATAAATTACAAGGTAGTTTAAGGGGGAGAACATTAATAATTGGAGAATCAGAAAAAGCTTCATACAGGAGAGTGCCTGAACTTCATCTCAAATAAAAAGTGTGACTCTTTGAAGGAGAAATAAGGAAGGAGTACATTCTAGGCACCATTTCAAAGGCAGGGAGATAGGAGATGGAGTGTCATGTATGAGGAACAGAGAGAGAAGGCCATTTTGGCTGGATAACAGAATGCAGGATGGAGAGTAATGTCAAATGTTAAACTCTCATCTCACACTAGACAAGTCATTTTACCTCTGGGTGTGACAGTTTCCTTTTCTGTAAAATGTAAAGGTTTGAGCAGATGACTTTTAAGGTTGCTTTGATCCCATGAGCCTATGAGATCCAGATAAGTCATGGGTGGTGTAGATTTGTTGACCTAGGTTGAGTTCTGGCTCTAATGTTTAGTAGCTGCGTGTCCATGGGCAAATATATCATTTAGCCTTTTTGAGACTCAGTTTCCTCCTGTGTGGTATGGGATATTTCCTCAGAGACTTGTTGTGAGGATCAAATGAAAAAGTGTATATAGAAGTCATTTTTAAACCTTAAAGTGATAGTTAGATATCAGCCATTAGTATTATACTTAATAATTACAAAATATTTTCCTCATAGTAAACCTGTGGGATAGGTAGTGTAAGTATTATTATCCTCATTTTACTGAGGATAACTGATGATACTGAAGCTTCATAATTTATCTAGGAAGGTTTCATCCCAAACCTTTCATTTAAAGCCTGTCACAGTCTGGCTCCATCCTACCTTTTGAAATAGATTTTACCTTACTCCCTTCGTGTACTCTACATTCCAGTCAGACTGAACATTTTGTTGTTCCTAGTCACATGACTTTCTGTCTTCTGTCACCATGCCTGTACTCAGGCTCTCCAGCATATCTAAGATAGAGGATAGAGTGCTAGCCTTGGAATCAAGAAGACTTGGGTTCAGACATTTACTGGGTAGCTGTGTGGCAAAATGTATCACATATCTCTGTGCTTCAGTTTCCTGATCTGTCAAATGAGTGGATTGGATCTGCTGACCTCTAAAAGTCCCTTCCAACTCTAAATCTATGATCCTGAGAATTCACTCTCTCCTTACCTCTTTCTTTTAGAATACCTAGTTTCCTTCAGGGTTCAGCTCAAGTTCTGTCTCTTATAGGAGGCCTATGTTAATTCCTTCACTTGCTAATGCATTCATTTGCCTATCAAAATTACTTTATATGGATTTTCTATTTATTATGTGCTCCTGGCATGGAAGGACTGCTTTATTTATTTATGCATTTATTAATTCATTCATTTATTTTATTTCTTTTTCATTCTTTTTATGCCTAGCTAAGGTCTAGCCCAGTACCTGGCATATAAAAGGTGCTTAATAAATGCTTGTCAAATTATCCATGCAGTTGCTCTAGGAGAAGATCTCAACTGACTCTATCCCCTGAAACTGGTAGGTCTCCTTCCACATTGGACTCAGGATACTTTCCAAATCTGTCCGCTTTCTCCAGACTCCTAATGGGACCAGGAAGTTACCATTGCCACTTTCCCATCAGCTTTCCAAGATTGTTTCTGTTCCAGTTCTGCAAAACCCCCATTGCCTGTCCTGAATATGCTTCTTTTTTCAGCTTGGGCTCCGGTTAGAAAACGCTGAAAAGCTGGCTTACAGGGTGTTTGGTAGGCAGCCGGTTATGGCAGCATTCCGGGACGATGATAAGAAAAGTGAGACCAAACCAGATACTGACATGGAACTCGCAGATGGAGTCAATGAGAAGTCAGGGTTGGCTAGAGCTGGGTGCCCTGGTGGGGGGCACAGTAAGATGAAGGAGCTCCAGGAGAAGGTAAGGGAATTTATAGACCCACACCCATCTCCCATCCGCACACATACAGCACACATCATCCCTTCAGGGGCTCTGGGACAAGTTTTTGAAAATAATGATGCCATTTAGAAGTAACTAGAGCAGGCAGGCCATTCAGACATCAGCGAGATAGTGTACTTTCTCTCACTTACAGAAAACAGATCTCTAGGGCAGATGTGTTCCTGCTCTTTCTATATGAACAATGCTTAGGATCATGCTCTGCCCCTAATCTTACCCCAAGGTTAATCTAGATTCCCTCTTTCCTGACCCATTACATCTTTTCTCTTTTCCTCCATATCCAGACCTCTTCCCCTAGTGTAATGTACTGAACTAAGAGTCAGGAAGATCTAGGTTCAAATAGTTCCTTAGCTACTTTCTAGCTATGTGACTCTGGTCAAGTCACTTAACCTCTGTAAATCTCAGCTAGCTCATCTGTAAAAGAAGGGGGTGGGCTTGATGGCTTCTAAGGTCCCTTGTAGCTTGTAAATCCATGATCTTTTGATCATCTGCCAACCCAAAACCTCTCATGAAGCCCCATCTGAGCATCAAGCTTGGGAGGAAACAATGTGCAATTGTGGGTTTGGAATTGGAGAACCTGGATTCAAATTCTGGTTCCTCTTCTAGCTACTTGTATGGCCTTGAGTAAATTATTCCCCAACTCAGGGCCTTGGTTTCCCCTTGTACAATGAAGGGTTGATGAAGAGGTAGGGCATAGTAGATGTAGATAGCCAGCCTGCCTTGAAGTCAGGAATTTCTAGGTTAAAACCTTGCCTCTGGCACATAGTGTCTGTGTGACTTGTCTCTCCAGGCAGCTCTCTGAGCCTGAGGAGGTCGTGACTTGCATTGGAGGAAGGGACTTCTTCACCGAGAATTCCCTTATACTAATGAAGTCACAGGCATTGTCCAAAATTAAATAGAGGGGTTAAACTCAATGAATTCTAAGGTTCCTTTCAACTATAAATCTATGATCCTTTGATTCTATGAAAATAAAACAAAGTAAAATAAAGTAAGAAGGTTGAGCGAGATGTTGTCTACCGTGCCTACCGGTTCTAACTTTTTGGATTCTTACTTGCTCAGGTGACTCAGAGGTGGGGGAAGAGGAGGGACCTGCAATGTGGTCTCAGTCTGAAAATTTTTGGGAATGAGCTTAGTTTCGTGGACTGTGGGGCAGTGAGAAGCCACATGAAGAGGTACTCCCTGAACCTGGCTGAACTGACTGTCAGACTCCTCAAGGTACATGCTGGGTGGAGCTGCCGCTGGGCTTGGGAACTGATTGTTGACAGGAGGTGCTGTCAATCCCCTCCCTTTGGCTGCAGGGTCAGGAGGTGCAGATTAACAGAAGGCTGAGCTTGGCAACCGAAGAGCTCTCCTTTCCAACTGTGTCGGGCCTCCCTGTGCAATTAGCCTTGAACGCATCAGCTGCCATCCACATCCGGATACGGGGGACCGTGGACTTCAAGCAGCTTTCGGATTTCTCCTTGGAGGGCTATATTAAGCCAAGGTACCAAGAGCTGTCCAGAGTGTAGGTACTGAAGCCCCAATTCTCCTGGGCTATGTCCCTGGCGTGGCTCTTACCTGCCACAGGGGAGAAGGAGCTAAATGGAAGCATCCATGTGGGCCAGGGGACAACCTCAGAACAACAGAAACAGCTCACATTTATGGAAATCTTTATGGTTCTTACATACCTTATGTATATTACTTTCATTTGATCCATGTAACAACCCCTAGAGGTAGATACCAATCAATCAGTATTAAACATCATGCCAGGCATCATGCTGGGCACCAGCCACAAGGACAAAATCGATCAATCCCTACTCAGGAGAGGTTTACATGCTGAGAAAACAAATAGTACGTATATATATATAGCACACATACATATATATAGCATAAATATATAGACTATATATAAATATATAGCATATATATAGACAAATAGTACACACACACACACACACACACACAGAGCATAAATATACAGTGAATTAAAACATATCCAAAGTAGTTAAATACAAGGTAATGTGGGAGGAAAGGGAATCTGTAAACATGGTCTAACCTCTTGTCTACCTCTTACTGCTCCTTTTCTATTCAGATTAGGGCTATACTCAGAACCCTCCCTGGCCCTGCTCCCCTGTTCCTGCCCCTGTCTTTCAAATGAAGATCTCAAAGCACCTTCTCCCTTTCTTTTTGTGAATGACATTAATGAGTGGTGTCCCTCCCTCCTTGAGTGCTTATCTCTCTGTCACTATCCCCACCTTGTTCCTTCTCTCAGGCATACACACAGCATTTGGGGAGATCAGGAAAGGTTCTATGCAAAGATTGTACCTAAGCTATATTCTAAAAGAAGAGAAGAACTCTGTGAGGCAGAGGTAATGGGGGGTGGGGTGGGGTGGGGGAGGCAGGGGGGAATGTGTTCTAAGCATGAGGGACAGCCAGTGCAAAGGCATGAAGAGAGGAGATAGACTGTGGTGAGTGAGACACAGAGAAAAGACCAGTGTAGCTGCCTCACAGAATCTGGGAGAGAGAGTAATGTCCAATAAGGCTGGAAAAGTAGGTTGAGGCCAGGTTGTGGAGGGGTTTAAAAGATAAACAGATGAGTTCATAGTTTATTCTTGAAGCAGTAGTGAAAATACCATCATTCCCATTTTGCAGATGAGAAAACTGAGGTTTTAAGAACATGTGACTTGCCAGTTCCTAGCTAATAATTGCTGCAGAAGAGAAATGAAGCCACATCTTTTCACTCCAAGTTTGGCATTCTTTACAAGAAACTGTACCATTGTCACCTCTCTTCAAAACCATGCCTGCGTAGAAATGGAGAGAGCTAGGTTTTAGTCCGTGTTCCTTAGCATTGATTTTTTAAAATTTAACTTTAAAAAACACTAGCTGAACTTGTTTCCCCATTTACATATTTCATTATATAATATACATCTGCATATATATGTACATGTATGTATATATGTATATGTGTATTCGAAAACATACATACAGAAATTTAGGGGCAGCTAGGCGGAGCCAGACTGCACAGAATGCCAGGCCTGGAGTCTGGAAGACTCCTCTTCCTGAGTTCAAATCTGGCCTCAGACACTTACTAGTTGTGTGACCCTGGGTAAATCACTTAACCCTGTTTGCCTCATTTCCTCATCTGTAAAATTGAGCTGGAGAAGGAAATGGCAAACCACACCAATATCTTTGCCAAGAAATTCCCAAATGTGGTCACGAAGAGTTAGATATGACTGAAACAACTAAACAACAACAAAAAGAAATTTATGGAGGCAAAATGGAAGAGTAGAAAGAACGCTGGCTCAATAGTCAGAGAATTTGGGTTCAAATTCCTTCTCTAACCTCTCTGGGTCTCAATTTACTTATTGGCAAACTGAGGGGCTTAATGATAAATCAATAAACATTTATTAAGCACCTACTATGTGCCAGGTGCTGTGCTAAGTAGTAGGTTACACAAAATGGCCTCTGTTTTTAGATCTATGATCCTATGAAGATGTATATGAAAATGTAGAATGAGAAGAGGTAGAATGTCTTAGTGGGCAGAGCACTGGACACTGTTGTCCACGATATATACAAATCCTACTTGCTCTGTGACCATGGACAAATCACTTAGCTTTTCTGATTTCCATATTTAACTTATATAAGTTATAAATGGGTTGCAACAGGACTTACCATGTGGATGAAATCACAGATCCTTTACATATTGATGTAAAGCGAAGTATTCATTTTCCATATTTTGGAAGCATAATCCAACTATCCAAGGACTCTGTTCACTTATAGAAGGCATGGTGGGTAGAGAAAGGAGCAAAACAGATGTCTGAGGGTTGGTAAAAGGTATGACTCTGGGCTGTAGTTTTCCTGACGCTAATAATAATAATGATAGCTAACATTTTTATAGATTTGCAAAGCACTTTACATATGCTATCTTATTTGATTTTCAAAACAGCCCTGTAAGGTAGATGTTATTACTATTTTTTTGCAGATGAGGAAACTGAGGCTTAAGTGACTTTCTCAAAGTCACACAGCTTGTAGGTGTCTGAGGCAAGATCTTCCTGAGGTCTTCAGGTCTTCCTGAGTCCAAGTTATCACTCCATCCTCTGATTTCCTGCTAGCTGCTTCTCCTAAGAAACGTCTACCATCGTGATTGGCTCACCAATCACAGCTTGTCTATATATTTCACCTTAGTGCCTTGATACAGATCGCAGCTCAGATGGGTGTGGCAGGCTTCCATGGGAAAGCAGGGGTGAAGTGGGTGACTGGCATTCGAAGTTCCACCAGCCTCGATGGAGGAATCATGGCGAAAAGGGGACAGGAGCTCAAGATGTTTCTGAATACGCCGGAGGAATCCATGGAACTGGTGAATTTCAGGTAGGCCTAAGTAGTAACGGACCACGTTTTACTAGATGTTCATGAAGGAGTAGGCCTAGGCCTCAGTTCCTTGTCCCATCTTCCCTTTGGACATGGTTTGTCCAGGTATTAGCTGTCTCTTAGGCTTTTGCTTATGAGGTGGTGAGGTCGGAGATGGACATGATCTCAGATGCACCTAATAGCTTGGGTGAGTTAAGTGGAGGAATCCAGGACTAGCTATGTCTTTCCCTTAGCTCTAAGCTGTATCTCATGACTGTGGATGGTGTGATGAATATTGACCGACTAAACAGCGCTCCAGACTTGAGGTCCTGCACTGGAGAAGAAGGTAAGCAGCTAACCTCATCACTCTTCCAACTTGAAAGGGAAAATCTGGTGAGGGACATAAAGGAAGTAGCTGACTTCAGACTCCAAAGTGGCTTCTCCTTGTTCAAAGGAATGTTATGGGGAGTGTTACTGTAAGTTTAGAAAGCCCTTTATGTGTTTTATCAGTTCCCGGGTCGCTAAAAGGATGGGTTTGGAAACAGTGTGGATATGATGCCACATATATGCTTATTACTGGAAATGTACTATTATAATACTCAGAGTGACCCTAAATAGAATGTTACTCAAAACAAAAATGACAAATCTCAAGAAGAATCATGCCAATCTCCAGATTTTCCAGTCTTCTATATAAACTCAGATGTTTTAACTTCATCATTCCTTTCAAAGAAGCATTCCCTCAAGACTGTGTTTAAGATAATGGAGCCCCTTTTCTTGGAAATAGAACCCTAGAGGTGTCGGGGAGGGGAGGGAGTATGTGTGCATATCCCCATTTAGGACTTTGCCTCTCTTTCCAGCATTCCAGGATCAACAGTAAGACAAGGATGCAGTTGTGGGTTATCTATCACCCTGGAATTGGGATCCACTACCTAACAGGGTAATACTACTATCTCTGCATTGTCACTCTTTCTTGTTTTTCCCCCCAGCATCTCATATTTGGGGCTGGCAGATGTGTTCCGAAGTGTCTTACCCAGCTCAGGTCCAGCCTTTCTCTCTTGCTGTGCCAATATCTGCAGCAGTGACGTTAAAGAAGCAGGACAAGGGACTACAGCAGTACCTGCTAGAAGCTGCCTGTGCTTATATTCCTCAGGTAGGGCAGAACAGAATTCTACCCCACCCGCTGCTACACCCCTATCATAAACTTATCAGTGCCATCTCAGTCTGGTTGAGTCTCAGCTACCACAGCATGACCAGTGCTTTTTGTTCCCACAAACTAACCTGTGGCTCACGTATGTTTGAACCTGGCCTCCCAGATGGGCTACTTGGCTGAGTGAAAACTGCTAAAGACAACAGAGTATAGCAGGAAGAACACAGGCATAGGAATTAGGCGACCCTGGCTACTAATCCCAGCTCTGGTCCTAACTTGCAGTGTGTCCTTGGGTAAGTTTCTTTTTAGACCTCTCTGGGCTTCAGGGTCCTCTGTCAAATCAGAGAGGTAGACTAGATGCTCTCTAAGGTCCTTTTCAATCCTCATATTCTGTGGTTCTCTGATTAAATGACTTCTATGGTTTTTTCCAGATCTAACATTCTGAGGATCTATGATGAGGTGATTTCAATGGTACCTTCCAGCCTTAATACTCTACAGCAGAATTCTGTATACATTTCACTTGTAACCACTAATACCCAAACTTTTATATTCCTTTTGCTGAATGGCATGGCTTTTTCAAGAATGTCTCAGATTTTAGGGGAGACTCGGATGAGATTCCATGAGATTCTCAGTTGGGTTCTTTGGAGAAGAGATCAAAAGAGGCTGAGGGTGGGGTGAGGATTGAGAGCCCTGGGACCTAAAAGGGAAGGTCATCCTTGGCACAGGATTATAACATCTTGGAAGGAATTTCCAAAGGGTGAGAGAGCCTTCTACATTTCCAGAAGGAGAGTTGGATCCCTGAAGAGGCCACCATCCATTTCTTTATGGGCACACCAAAGTCAGAACAGCCCAGAGATGTGGGTGTGGATCTCAGCTTCAGTGTACCTCAGAAGAAACTCCGAATCAAGCTACTTCATCCCAAGAAAAAAATCAAAGTGGATGGTATGTGTATGAAAGAAGGAGATAGTAGAATGACTTGTTAGTGTGCCCTTATCCAGTAGCTGAATCTTTTTTTGGTGGTTCCTTAGGGTGATTGTGAGTAATTTTTTTTTTTTACTGAACCTTGAATTTAGTAAGGACCTTAAAGGTCATCTCTATCAATAAGCATTTACTAAGCACACATTGTTGGGAGGCACTTCTAAACATCAGGAAAACAAAGGCAAAAACATGGTGATAGGGAGCCATTTAACCTAACTTCCCTCCAAATACAGTAATACTTGCTCCAAGATCCCTGGCTTAAAATCACCATTTAAACAAATCTAGTGACTAAGAGGCACTTCATGCCATGGTGATGTTCCACCCTGACCCCAGTCTTCTCTTCTACAGGCTAAACATCCCTAGTTCATTCAACCATTCTTTTTATGCCTTGGCTTCCAGATCTTTCACCATCATAATCATCCTTGCCCTTTGGACCCACTGTAGTTTGTCACTTTCCCTCTGAAATGTGGCGCCGTAATAAATTTTTCACGTGTCATCTGAAAAGTACAATGGGGCTATCCCTTTCCCTGACCTGGATCCTATGTGGGTCCAAGTGACTGGGGCTATGTATTCCTTTGTATTCCTAGCATTTAGCACAGGTGCCTGGCATGTAGTGAGCTTAATAAATGTTTACAGATTGAATAAAATTAATGCAACCCACAATTACATTAGTTTTTTTTTTAAAGTTGCAGTTTCACACTGTTGACTCAGTGTGGTCAACTAAAACCCTTAAAACACATATTTTTATGCTGCCTTCCCCAACATTGCCTCTGGTTTAAATACAGCTTGAATTGAAAAGCTTAGAGGTCTCAGACCACCCAGTAATAGGCTCAGCTAAAGCTGTGGAGGGGAAGTTGGTGTAGGGCCTGGCTAAATATTCATAGGCCCAATGCCTAGTTTATTTCACTGCATGGCTGGATCTCGAATTCAGAAATAAAAGCTGGAATCTGCAAGTAGTAAATGAAAGTTTTACTCTTTTTTGGCTCCACTTTCCTTCATCAGCTCTTTTGATGGAAACTCATCCACATGTTCTTTTCCTAATAGGAAAAATCGATTCTCTCCAGAGTACCCGCTTTGGCCACCTGGAAATAATCTTGGATGACAAGGATGTCTATTACATCAAGGTTTGTCCATAGACCCCAAAGTCAGTTCAGTTACATTCAATAGATTTTACTAAAAAAAAGTTTTACATATATATTAAATTGTTAGATTTCTCTTATAATAAAGCAACATCAAGAGACTTGTTAAGTGACTAACATATGCAATATACTAGAGATGAATAAATTTTAGTCCTTGCCTTCAAGGAGTTTATAGTCTAGAATGTGATAAGTGAGTGGTGTGGGAAGAGTAGACATAAAGTATATTAGAATTGAAAAGAAGGCAGTATTATATCTACCTGGGAATGGAACTGGGAGGGCTAGGGAGAGCTCAGAGAAGGTTTCATGGAGAACGTAACATTTCTGCTTGGCCTTGAAGCATGGGTAGGAATTCAGAAAGCAGAGAAGAGACAGTGAAATTCCATGAGTAGCAAATGACATGATCAACATTTGAGGTATGGTGAGGAATCCAATGGCTTGTGGCTTGAACATAGAGTCTATGAAGGGAGTAGTAGTAATAGTACTGGTGGTGGTGGTGGTGGTGGTAGTGGTAGTAGTAGTAGTAGTAGTAGTAGTAGGGACAGCTAGGTGGCACAGTGGATAGAGCACTGGCCTGGAAGTCAGGAGGACCTGAGTTCAAATCCAGCCTCAGACCAAACACTTGACACTTAATAGCTGTGTGACTCTGGGTAAGTCACTTGACTCCAGTTGCCTAAAAAAATCTTTTAAAAAAAAGTAGTAGTAGTAATGATAATCATAACTTGTTCTTGAGTCATTTTCAGTTGTGTACTACTCTATGACTCCATTTGGGGTTCTTGGCAAAGTTCCCAAGAAATAGTTTGCCATTTCCTTTTCCAGCTCATTTTACAGATAAGGAGACTGAGGCAAATGGAGTTAAGTGACTTTCCCAAAGTCACACAGCTAGTAAGTATTATGTGTCTGAGGCCAGATTTGAACTCAAGTCTTCCTGACTCCAAGCCTGGTACTCTATCTACTGTGTCACCCACTTGCCCAATAATGATAATAGTTAACATTTATCTCCTTTGATTTTCGCAATAATCTTGTGAGGTAGATGCTATCATTATCCTCGTTTTACAGATTAAGAAAATGAGGCTGAAACTGGGAAATAAGATACACAGGCAAAGGGGCATAGAAATCTATCTTACCCTATAGGAAAATAGAAGGGAAGGGGATAATAGAAAGGTTCGGGGGTAATAGAAGGGAGAACAGAATAAGTGAAGGAAGAATCAGAATGCAGACCATCATGGGGTGGGAGGAGGGGGGAGGGATAGGGAGAAAATTTGGAACTCAAAATCTTGTGGAAGTGAATGTTGAAAACTAAAAATAAATTTAAAAAGTTAAAAAAAAGAAACTGACGCTGAGAGAGATTAAGTGACTTTCCCTGGGTCATACAGTTAGTAAGTGTCTGAGGTCAAATTTGAATTCAGGTCTTCCTAATTCCAATTCAATGGTCTTACCCATGGAGCCACCCGATAGAAAAAATTGGATGATGTCAGATTTTGGATAGCCTTAAATACCAGATTTGAGAGTTTGGGTTATATTCATAGAATCCTAACTCTAGAGCTGAAAGGGACCTCAGAAGTCATGTAGTTCAACTTCTTCATTTTACAAATGTGGAAACTTGAAGCTCAAGGTAAGTGAGCTGTCCAAGATCACACAGACAGTGAGTGTCAGAAGTAGACAATGGGAACCATTAAAGGGTATAGCGCAGAAGAGTGATGTAATCACAGTTCTTTAAGAAAATTCTTCTAGCTGCATGAGAACAATAGATTGGGGCAGAGGGAGAGGGGAGGAATACAATCCATTTAGAAAGGTATTATAATAGTCCAAGTGAGAGAACTTAAACTAGTTTGGTAATGGTGGGAATGTAGAGGAGAGGACAGATGGAAGGCATATTATGGAGGTTGAATCAGATGGGCTAATTGCTGCAGGAGAAGATAACACTCCCATTTCCCCTATCTCCAAATTATTTGCATAATGCTTGCTAGCTTATGATTTCCTCTCCTATTGGGGACCTTTAGATGCTTATTAGTACAAATCTTTACCAGGCTCAGCATATCTGGCCCAGGGGTCCGGGCTAACACAGTATTTTTTGGAAAACACAGCTGACACATTACTTTCTCTGCTCCTTTGGGAAGGGAGGTGATCAGATGTCTAAGGAATGAATGAATGAATGTATGAAAAAGCATTTATTAAGGGCTAGCACTGTGCTAAGTACTAGGGATACAAATATAAAAATAAACAGCCCCTGCCTTCAGGGAGCTTACATTCTAATAGAAGAAGACAAATATATAGGGAAATGGTGGCTGTGGAAGTTTTTGGTTTTGAAAGTTACAGGTTTGGTAAGTAGAGTCATAGGAGAGTAGATTGTCCTGCCCTTTCCAGGAATAATGACAGAGTTGACTTGATTATGGCTCCAGAACTGGAAAAGGAAGGGAGAGGTGGGCAGGACTGGCATGAAGATGCCTAGGGACCCAAGCGAAGCATAGCTGGAGCTGGATTTAGATATGATGGGAATAGGAGAATAAGCATTTATATAGTGCATACTATGTGCCAGGTGCTGTGCTAAGTGATTTACAAATATCATCTCATTTGATCCTCACAATAACACTGTGAGGTAGGTGCTGTTATTATCTCTACTTTACAGTTGAAGAAACTGAGGCAGACAGAGTTGAAGTGACTTGCCGTACAGCTAGTCAAATTGGATTTGAACTTAGGCCTTCCTGACGTCAGGTCCAAATCTCTATCCACTTTGCCACCTATCTGTTTCTGGGTGATTGAGGCGACCATCAGTTAGGAAAGGGTACCCCAGACCAGGAGTTCTGGGGGCAAAAGGGGTGAATAATGATTTCTGATCTAGGCAGGAAGATAACTAGAGAGAGAAGATGCTCTTTGTCTCAAAGCCACAATAACTTCCCACTTAATGAATTTGGGGACCTGCCTAATAATTAGACCCTAATTAGTTGCTCATGTCAATTTTGGACTTGTAGAATGTTTGAACTAGAGATATCATCTGACCCAAGCCCCTGATTTTATAAATGAGGAAACTGAGGCCCAGAGAAATCAAACAACAAGTTAATGATAGGATTGGGATGAAAATTCAAGTTTCTTTCTTTTCAATTCAATGCTGTTTCCACAACAGAACAATGTTATTTTTCAGAAATCACAGGGTTATTGGAGTTCTACTTAGTAGGTTCATTTGTATCTGCCTTGGGCCAATGGCCAACCCTCTAGCTGCCCCTACTGCTTTCTATTGCCCTCTGCATCTCTGAATTCAATCATATGACTATCTTGGAGAAAATTTTTCCCGAGAATCTCTTAAAAGTCAAGCAACAAGGGCACTAGGATATAGAGGAAGAGTTAATTAAATCCCCCTCAAACCCCACTATTTCATTTCTATTAGATTTAATAGCCCGACTTTAAAAAAGAGATGAGGGACACAAACCCAGATGCTTTATTTCAGGGGCTGAGTGACATTCAGACCTCCAGGGGGGAACAGAGATACGAGACTCAGCTGGAGGCGAAGCTGATCAGAAGAGGCAGCCCTGTTATTCTCATGGGCAACATCACCAAACAAGTGGGCAGAAAGATGACATTCTCAGTGTCCCTGCTGAATGTGCTGAAGGACAAAGCCTTCTTGTCAGGTCAGGAGGAAGGAACAAGCCAGCAACAGCCTCTGTCCCTGTGGCCCTCTTAGATTGTGAATTCCTTCCCATTCTCTCTTCCTTCCCACTCCTCCCCTTTCTTGCCCCACCCTTCTCACTGCCACTGATCGTATCACACCCAACCCCCAAGCCTTTGCACAAAATGTTTGGAGTGAAAGGGATGTTAGAGATCATCTATCTAGTCTTATTTCCTCACTTGATGGATGAGGAAATGGAAACTCAGAGGGATGGAGTTATTTGTTCAAGGTCATGTAGCTAATTGGGGGCAGAGCTTGGAATCCTAATTCCCAGTGACTGCCACCATCTTCCTTAATGCTCATTGAGAACAAACCAGGCCATTGAGTTCATTCCTCAGTCTCAAATCCAGTTCTTTGTCTAGGCCTCTGACTGGTCCCAGATCTTCCATCTCTTTCCCTCTACCTTTTCTTCAGTCCATTTGGAGATCATTCCCTTGGCTACTGTTTCACCCCTAGGTCTAGTATCCCACTGATTGATTCTGCTTCTTCCAGTCACCTGGTGGGTCTTTCTCTCTGCAGCAATCCTGGAGAAGAAGGCAGAGGATGGACTCCAGCTATATGCACTGGAAGGAGAGGTCTACCTGCCAGATATCTTGGGTTTCCATGCCATTGGCCTGTTGCAGCAAAGAGGGAGCCTCTGGACCAATGCCCTAAGGATAAAATATGGGCTCCTAGGTATTGTACCATTTTGTGAGTGTCACATTTCCTGGGAAGGTTGGACCGGGGCCTTGGATGTGTCTACCGCAGTTCAGCACCATTTCTATTCAGGAAGTTAATGTCCTTCGAGTTCCTTATTGAGAAATAAATTGTAGATTTAGATCTGGATGGGACCTTAAAGGTCATTGAGCCCAAGTCTTTCATTTTACAGATGAGGAAACTGAGGTACAGAGAAATGAAATGACTTGCCCAAAGTTACATAATTAGCTAATTATGTGAGGTGGAATTTGGACTCACGCTTTCCTTACTCCAAGACCAGTACTCTGTCCATTACTCTCTGTTGCCTCAATGAGAGGGGCCTTATATATTTCTTCCTGAAAATTGGCTGATGATAACATAGGGCACGGGACCCTATCTTGTCTCTGACGGCTCTTTAATTTCCTCTTTGCTGCCAGTAACTAAGAGGAAAGAGAGGATGATAGTCCTCTATCAAAGATGCTATCCCTTAGCTTTTGGCCTCCAGTATCAGGAAAGCAGAAGAATCTTGGAAGAAAAGTAGAGATGTGAACTCAGATGAAACCCAGACAAGACAGACAGATACACAAATTCTAGGCTTGGAGTAAGAAAAACTTGGATTTGAGGTCTGATTCTATTACTTTGTGACCTCAGGCAATATGCCTTGAGAAGTAAAAGTCATTTCCATCCCATAATTAGGTGGGAATGTAACCTCTACCCCATGTTTAGGAAAACTTTAATGGAGGTGTTACAGGCTCATAGAGAGCTAGAGAAGACCTTAGAGGATATCTAGTCCTCTATCCTTATTTTATAGATGAGGAAACTCAGGCCCCAGAGAAGTGATATCATTTGCCCAAAGTCACACAGGCTCTAAGTGGCAGAACCAGGATTTTATCTCATCTTCTCTGATTCCAAATCCAACATTCTTTCCACTATACCATGTCATGACCCTCTCTTGAGACTCATTACATATTAAAGAAGGGATGGTTTGCTGGGGCTGTGGCATCCTGTGCTCTCCTATCCCAGGAGCTGGGCTGTGTGTTTGCCTGGTAGGAGAAAGGCAGGTCTTTCTGTGTTGACCGGCATAGGAGAGGCCAAGCACCTCCAGCAGGAATGCAATGCCGGCCAGAAGCTCAAAGTGGAGAACCGTCTGGAGGTGTACAAGCTGGACCTTGGGCATGAGTTTCACTGCACTCAGGTGCCCACGTATAACCATAAGGTAGGTGACTGAGTAGGATAGATGTCTGCGTCAAGCCCCAGTCTGCTGTAGCTCTGGAGATGAGACTGTAAAAGGGGTTCTATTGATATGTTTTCCTAGTTTACAGTTGTTGCCACAATCATATATCGTAGATGGGAGCTGTAACTTCTTTTATAACTTGCTTTTGAGGGAAGCTAAATGAATCCAATCTTTAAAGTTAGACTTCTTTAAAACAGTAATCCACAGAACAACTTTCTGTACCTCTTGACATTTATTCATTTGCTCATTACAGGAGCCCCTGGCATTGCCCTGGCTCTGGGCTCTGGGTCCAAACAGAACAGGTCCCATCTCTCCTCCATGTGAAAGCCAATCAGATACTTGAACAAAGATATGATTTTCTCCTTTAGTCTTCTCTTTCCTGGCTAAACTCCTGGGTCCTTCAACCAGACCTCATGTGTTAAGTGATCCAGGACCCAAGCAGAGACAAAAAGCAGTTCCCTGGCCAGATGCCACCAGAGAGGCCAAATTGAAGGAGAATAGGAGAATGGGTCTGGGTGTGCCCAGCAGTTGTGGGATATAAAGAAAGGATTATTTCTTGTCTGGTTGGCTGACTGATTCAATGGGTTACCTAGCCAGTTGCTGCTGCCCACCTAGCAGTTGAGAGAAACCAAAAGACTGGGGTTCTCCTTCTCTCCACTTTTCCCCCCTTATTGTGAATGATCTCTCATGATGCTAAGCTGTACTGGTCAGAACACATATGGACCTTTGTGTTCATATCTAGGGGAGAGAGAGGCATTTTAGGAAGGTCATCGACAAACTGGAACGCATCCAGAGGAAGGACCACCAAGAGAAAGAGGGCTGTAGGTACCATAACATAAAAGGATCAATGGGAGGAACTAGGAATGTTTGCCTTAAAGAAGAGAAAGCTTGGGTGGCAGTGGGGAGAGATGGCAGTTGTCTTCTAAAAATGGAAAGGAATTGGAAAGGAGATGAGACTTCTTTGGGGTCATTCCACAAGGCAGAACTAGGACCAGGGTCGGAAGTTCCAAGGAGGTTGAGTTCTAAGCTAATCATAACAAACAGGTTCCTGAAGGAGTCAACAATGGAATGGTCAGCCCTATGATAAAGCAAAAAGTTGTCTAATTTTAGAAGTATTCTAGCAGAAGAATAAATACGTGTCAGGGATGTCGTGGAAAGAATGTTCAAAAGGATCATGGGTTTGAACTGGAGAAGGCCTTAAGTATAATCTGATCTAACCTCCTCATTTTACATTTAAGGAAATTGAGTCCTAGAGAGTTTTAAGTGACTTGCCCAAGATCACTGAGATAAGAAGTGGTAGAACCAGGATTTTAACCCAGGTCCTCAGAAGCCAAATTCATCAGTGTGGGTTAGATAACCTCTGAAGCTCTTTTAGTTCTGAGATTCTATGGAATCTCATAAGTTTAATAGTTGTACTAAATTCTTCATTCTGCCTTGTACTTGATTATTAAGTAAAGCTCTCTAAAGAATGCATAAATCATCCCAGTTTATACTTTGACAGAATCACACAATTTAGAGGAACAAGGGACCTACTGAGTCCAAATCATACCCAAAAGAAAAGAAATCCCCACTACCACCTACTCAAGAAGTCATCCTACCTCTGCTTGAATATCTCCATTGAGAAGGAACCAACCAGCTCTCAAGGAAGCCCATTCCACTTCTGGATAGTTCCGTTTAGGTTTTTCTGGACATCTAGTCTAAATTTGCCATCTTTGTGACTTCTACTCATTGCTCCTGTACTCTGGGGCCAAACAGATGGGGCCATCTCTTCTCCATGTGAAAGCCCTTCAGACACTTGAACACAGATATGATTTTCTTCTTTAGTCTTCTCTTTCCTGGCTAAACTCCTGGTTCCTTCAACCAGACCTCATATGTTATGGACCCAAGGCCTTTCACCATCCTGATTGCCCTCCTCTGCCAGCTCCTCAGCTTACAATATTCTTAAATGATGTTGCCCAGGACTGAATACAATATTCCAGATGTAGTCTGACTCTCATAGAAGAGTCTTACCTAAGTTAGTACTCCCTTTTTTTTTTCTACTGCTCCCCACTCCCATTTTTCTAAACTTTCAATTTCTTTCAAGGAATAGTCTCCTTTAAAAAAGGATGGATCTTGACAGAGGGGTCATGATGAACTCAAGATGCACAATGAGACATTCATTTCTGGACTGGACAGATTCATGAATTCATTTTGCTTGATTATGCATATTTATTACAAGACTTTTCTTTTTTTTCCCCCCTTCCCCCTCCAATGTAGGGGGAGGTATGAGGGAGAAAAAAGAAATACTTACTAATTGAAAAAAGAAAAAGGATGATGGAGGAGAGAGGGAGATAAGGAGAAAGGGGAGAGGGGTCTGATAAAGTGCTATGTAGTATAGAGTCTTTGATTCAATTAGCTCTGTGTGTAGAGAGCTATGCTAGGTGCTGGAGGAGATGCAAAGCATCAATAAGACAAGGCTCTGACCTCAAGAAGCTTATAGTCTTACAGAGATGATATCTAATGGGCCAGTCGAGCCTTGGGGAGTCAACAATGAGAGACCTATGTCCTCCAGGTTCAACTGCAGCATGAGGAGAGCGTGTCCCGCCTACATTCCATGTTGGAAGTGAGCTATGGGAAGCACTGGGATGAGATCAACAACAAAAAAAAGCTCCGAATCAGCCAGACCTTCAAAAATGACTCTGGTCCATCCCTGAGCAACTACTTCATGGAGGTAAGTCCTGCTGACTCTTCCTGAAGCTGCTGAAATGCAGTCTATGGGTGGGAAAGGACGATAAACAGAGCGGGGAGGGAAGTGAGGTATGTCTAAGCTATCATCACAGAGGCTGATAGTTGAAGGAGAATTCAAGTAATCATTTAGTTTAGCCCCTTGCCTCCAGACAAGACCACAGCTGGTGATATGGATTCATGCTGGGTGGAAATATGGCAGCCAACAGAGCTGATGGCCAGCATTCGTTCCCTATCGTGAAGAGGCAGTGGGCTACAGCGAATAGAGTGCTAGATCTGGAGCCTGGAAGACCTGGGTTCAAATCTCACCACAACACTTGACTAGCTTGTGTGACCCCAAGCAAGTCATTTAACCTCTCTGGGCCTCAGTTTCCTCATTTATAAAATGAAGGGGTTGGACTTGATGACCTCTTAAGTTTCCTTCTAACTTTAAACCTTTTTTTTTTTTTTTGGTGGTTCTTAACTACAAAGGTTAAGGCCCTCTGTTCTTAACCTTTTTTGTGTCATAGACCCCTTTGGCTATGTGGTGAGGCTATGGACCCCTTCTCAAAATAACGGTTTTTAAATGCACAAAATAAAATAGATTGCAAAGAAAACCAATTATGTTAAAATGCAATTATCAAAAAAAATTTTTTAAACTCATATATCCAGGTTATAAACTCCTGTTTATGATCCAATGATTGCCTATGATTTCATTACCATTACGGATCCTGTACTTTGGAGAAGTGTTGAGGATGCCATCAGCCACCCCACGTCCTTTCCCTCCCCAGTTCCTCCTGCAGGTGCCCGAGAGGCAGGTGGATTACCGAACGCAGCTCCAGCATTCCAGCTTCTCCCAGGGCCATGTGGAGAGCAGCACTCATCTGAAGGTGCAGTATAATGGTCGCCTGCCCTTCATGGCTGGGCTTCAGTGGAAGGACATGTCTCGAGGTCTTCAATGGAAATGGGAAGGTGAGCAGTTGCAGGATAACCCCAGTCTTTTGGGGTAATGTTTGATGTCCCTGGAGAATTGGCGTGAGGGGGCTCCCTCTGAGATGTCTTCCCTAAGAGACCTAAACAGGGCCCAATCTATGACCCTTAGAAGGGTGGAATTATGGTCATAATTGGATGGCTTTCCTGGGTTCCTACATAGTTCTAGATGCTAGAGGGGGATACATACAACTGTAAGACGTGATTCTCGATCCCTAGGGGCTTTCATTCTAGCTGGGTGAAGGGAGTGGTAGAGGAACAAGGCTATAGGAGTTACAGGTGTGTTCAAGGAAGGCAGGAGTGTGCTGATAAATGTTTAACAACAATACCCACAACACACTTCTAAGTTAAATTTGCATCATTAGCATTTTCCCCATCACTTCCTGAAGTCTAGACAATCAACAGAACAATAAATCAAACCCTGATTTGTAGCATTTGCCAATTTTTTAGATAAAAATGCTCGCACTAAAAATTTAACAATTAGCTCTTGAAGGTCAGACTGGTTCCAGTATACCTCTGAAGAAGATGGATATCAATTTGAACTAAAAAGCTGGCCGAGATTACTGCAGGCCTTGTTAATGTGGCATAAGTGGCTGAATGACTGACCTTGGAGTCAGAAATTTGGGTCCAAGTCCTTAGCCACATGCTAACTCTATGAATCGTGGGCAAGTAAGTTGTTTTCTCAGTGCTTCTGGTTGCACTCTAGGCCTTTAAGTGGTACAGTGGATACAGTGCCAGGCCTAGAGTCAGGAAGACCCATCTTCCTGAGTTCAAATCTGGTCTCAGACACGTATTAGCTGTGTGACCCTGAACAAGTCATTTAACCCTGTTTACCTCAGTTTCCTTATCTGGAAAATGAGCTGGAGAAGGAAATGGCAAACCATTCCAGTATCTTTGCCAAGAAAACCTCATGAAGTTGGACATGACTGAAAAACAACTCAACGATTCCTTAAAGGCAAGAATTATTTTTTGCCTTTCTTTGTATTCCTAACACTTAGCATAGTTTCTAGCCATGATAAGTATCATGATGTGGAGAAACTCTCAAGGGAATGAATTGAAAAAAAGGGACAAGTCAGAGAAGGGAGAACCCTTTTTTTCATTCAAATCCTCATTTGTACTGGAGATAACCTTCATAGGTCAAAACCTATATTCCAGTAAATCTGTGATCTCATTGATGTGGACCCTCTCTCTAATGGTGCACATCCCAGCCTATCCATTCCTGCTCATTTTGTGGGACTCTTGTTCACATTTTCTTATATAAATGAACAGTGGGTCTGCTCAGCAATCTGGGGGTCTTCCTCAATTTCTCTTGACATTACACTGGTGCACATAGGCTGTCTATTGCTCCCTTCTGCCCAGCCATCTCCTCTGCAGCCTCCTCACCAACCCCTCAACCCTCACCAATTTTGTTACAGCAAAAATTGTTGTTTTCCTTTTCTTTCTCTGTCCCTTCTCCCCTTCCAGGTCTAGAACCATGAGCTATGACCAAATCAACTCTGCCGTTGTTTCTGGATGGGATGTGTCAATCTATTCCTCTTTGGTCCCACTCACCATTCTTGTAACTTTACAAACCAAAATACTTACCCCTGATCATCACTTCCCTATATGTGCTTTTTCCCTTATTAGAATATGAGCTTGGACATCACCAATATGGGAATTTGTTTTTCCTTGATTATGCATATTTATTACAAGAGTTTTGTTTTTATTTTCTTTTTCCAATGGAGGGGTAAGAGAAGGGAGAGAAAATAAATTTTTGTTAAGTTAAAAAATTAAATCTAAAAAAGTTTGCTAAAAAAATGCAAGCTTCTTGAGAGCAAGGGCTGTCTTTCCTTTTGTATTTGTGTCTCCAGCACTTAACACAATGCTTGGTACATGGTAAGTGGTTAATAAATAATCTTTCATTCATTCATTCATTCATTTAATGAGTTAATTTCTTTCAATACATGACCAACTCATCTTTTTTTTTCCCCACTCATACATTTCTTTGATGTTATCCTTTATTCCAGTGCTTTGTAATTTCTTGTTTGGAACATGTTGCAGCCAACTCATATCCATCCATCACTGTCTGGATGGTAATCACTTTTACTTTTTCAGAGACTCTAATGTTCCATGACTCACAATCATTTAACAACACTGGTAGAATATTGTTATTAGACTACTGTTATCAGATTATGTTGAAAGTTAACTCCTATGGCCTCATGTACCTGCCCTTTCCCAGCCCCTTGTCTTGGTCAGGTTTCCAGCTTCAGCAGAAAGTAGAGTTTGGATATAATAACAACAACATCAATAACAACAACAATAACAACAAAAAGTAATGTTTATATAATGCTTTATGGTTTACAAAGTACTATCTACATATGTTATTGATCCTCATAATAACTCTGTGAACTAGATGCTATTATTATTCCCATTTTACATGTGAGTAGACCGAGGCAGACAGAGATTAAGCCACTTATCCAGGTTCACCCAACTAAAAAGTATCTAAGGCAGGATTTGAACTCAGATCTTCCTTGATTCCAAGTTGATTCCACTTGATTCTAGTACTGTATCCACTGCACCACCTAGGTGTGTTTGGGGCCTGGGTAGCTTCTCTGTCTCTCTTTTTATTTCCTTGACGAAGGGAACTCAATATTTATAGAAGGCTCTGGCCCATGGCTTCCATGCTTCCTGTCCTTCCCTTCCTCTTCTCTCTCCCCACCCCTAAATAGGTGCATTGAACTTGGATACCCCTTGGTTGCTGTTGTCCCTGGCTCACAGGCTACACCAACCTCACCGTGCTGTGTACCAGGCCACTTGGGAGCTGACAACAGGGAAGGCCTTGTCCATCAAGAACCTGGTGGTGGAGCTGTCGTGCAAAGACAAACTTCAAGACAAAGAAGGGAAGATCCACATTTACACACCAACCACCACCTACCTCAGGGTGAGTCCAAGGGCATCTGTTTGGTGGTTACATGCATCATAAGCACTCAAGAAATACTTACATACCTATGTAATTAAGCTATATAGTCTATATTTTAAGCTTAATTGAATTAAGATATCTAAAGAGAGGATTGACATACACACACACACATATATATATATATGTATATATATATATGTGTGTGTATGTGTGTATATGTATTTCTGCTTTGCTCAGCATGCCAGAGTTCTTGTGCATAGGCCCCTCCTTATTCTGTTGGCCTCTGGTCTTTGTCAATGCCCTGCAACCTGGTCCTGGGAAGCCAGACTCAGTTAAGTTCAGGGACCCTTTTGCATCACCAATCAATGTGTGTGTGTGTGTGTGTGTGTGTGTGTGTGTGTGTGTGTGTGTGAGACAGAGAGAGAGAGAGAGAGAGGGAGAGAGAGAGAAAGAGAGAGATCAAGAGTGAAAAAAATCCCCCTGACTCATCACAGCATCTCCCTCTCATCCTCCCTCCCTTTGCTTGCTTGAAGCTCTTCCACTGCAGTCTATCCCAAGCTGCAGTTGGGTTTTGGTGATAGGAAGAGGAAAACTTTAGGACTGCCATTTGCATTCTTTTGTTGGTTTTTCCCTCTTCTTTAAGCTGTAGAGCCAGGATTCCAACTAGGGTCCTCGGATACCAGCTCCAACACTCTAGACCTGATGATCTTTAAGTCTCTTATAAGATTTTTTCAATTGTACATCCTGTAAAATGTCTCTGAAGGAGAATAGGCATCTCCTATGTGGTGTTGTTTGAGGAATTCCAAGTGGTGTAGTGGGTAAAGTGTTGGCCTTAGAGTCAGGGAAACCCAAGTTCAAATCTTGCCTCAGATGCTTGTTAGTTGTGTGGCTTTGGCCAAGTCACTTCTCTGTCTCGGTTTCCTCATCTGTAAAATGGGGATAATAATAGCACCTACCTCCCAGGCTGGTTGTGAGGGGAAAAAAATGAGATAATATTTGTGAAATTCTTTGCAAACCTTAAAGGACTAAACATTTACTTACAATTAACACTTTCCTCTACTGACCCATTCCCAATGTCTGAGGTTTCCATGATTATATATATATAATCTTTGGAACTTTCTAGAAGGTTTTTTGGTCTTCCAGTCTTCTATACAAAAAAAGATACTCTTGGGAAGGGTAATACTTTCAGCCTTTATTGAGCAGCCTGTTGAGGGGTATTACCAGGGCCAGCTCAGAGCAAGGTCTAGCTCAGAGCAAGGATAGGACATGGGCTAGTCAGAGGGAAAAGTGGGATAAAAACGAAAAGATAAAAAAGGCTCTAATCTACATCTGCTTTGCAATTTTGCCTCCGGTTAACCTTATCTTTTCCTCTAGTTTAAGGGGAAGTTTGGCACTTTAGCAAATCTGGCTTTGGCTTCCTGTTGACTTGGGACCAATGGGTTTTTTCTCCTTGGCCCTTTGTTTCCAGCTCTTTGATAGTATGAGCTGGATTAGCCTTCTTTTTTTATTTATTTTTTTATTTTTAGGCAGTTGGGGTTAAGTGACTTGCCCAGGGTCACATAGCTAGTAAGTGTCAAGTGTTTGGTCTGAGGCCAGATTTGAACTCAGGTCCTCCTGACTTCAGGGCCGGTGCTCTATCCACTGCCCCGCCCCCCAGGATTAGCCTTCTTTACCCATGACTCCCAATGCTAGAGGAGATAAGTAGCCTTTTCCCAGTTGGGGTCCAAAAACTGGTGCAATTCCTCTCTACAAAGAAACCAATGTACTTGCCTCATTTACAGGCATCCACATTGATTACCTGGGACCAGAGTGTTCTCCGAAGCCAGGGTGAGCTGGTGACCACCTGGAGTCCCCTGGTTCAGATTAAGGTTCACCTGGAGAATCACTGGGACAAGAAGCTCTTCCATTGTTGGCTAAAGGGTCCTAGGCAGGGACTGAACCTGACTTCTGCCTACAAACACACAGAGCAGGTGAGAAAATGGCCAACCAATTTTATTTATGGGCTTTGGCTGGAAGGGCCCTGTTCTTCTTCTTCTGTAGGGTCAGTCCCTGAAATAAGAAGTGTCACAGGCACTTCTGATGCCCAATAATTCTGCCATCTGGAGATATGACACCCAGCTGCTTTGCTCCAGATGCCCAGAGTCCTTGGTGTGGTCATTGTGCACGGGCCCCTCTTGCTCAACAGACCTCTGGTCCTTGTCAATGCCCTGCAACCTGGTCCTGGGAGGCCATACTCAGTCCAGTTCAGGGATTCCAGTTTGGCATCATCAATCAATCAAGCAAGCATTTATTAAATGCTTATTCTGTACCAGGTTAAATGCTGGGGATACCAAGAAAGGCAGAAACAGTCCCTACTTTCAAGGACTTTGCATTTTAATAGGGGAAACAATATGTAAATAGTTATATGCAAGATACACACACATACATACATACAACAGTCTCTGCTTATAAAGGGCTTGCAATGAAATAGGGATACAACATGTAAATAAATAGGTATATGCTACATATATGCATGCATACATACATACATACATACATACATACATAGTCCCTCCTTTGAGGACCTTTGCATTGTAATGGAGGAGACAACACGTAAACAATTAAGTAGATAGAAAAATCATGCATATATGTATACATACATGTGTGCGTGTATATATACACATGCACATATACACATGTAGTCCCTCCTTTGGGAACCTTGCATTGTAACGGTAGAGATAACATGTAAATAATTAGGCATATACAAGAGTCATGAATGTATGTATACATGTATGCACATATGTACATATATACACATAGTCCCTCCTTTAGAGACCTTGAATTGTAATAGCAGAGACAGCATGTAAATAATTAGGTATCTATAAGAGTCATACATATATGTACACAAATATATCCATACGTATACACATTTGAAAGTCATAGAATGGGGGTAGCTGTTCTTTCTATGTGGGATCGTCAAGGGTTTAAAGCACAACTAGCACCTGAATTATTTGACCCTTGCTTCCCTTCAGAACAGGCTGGATTTGTGACTCTTTCTCTCCTCATTCTTAAATCCTTGGCTTTGTATTTCCCATTGCAGCCCAGAAAGACCACTGTGTTAATAATGGCCCTGTGGACTGATTCCAAAAGCCAGCCCATTGGACTGCACCTGGAGGGCCAGCTGGAGGAGCTGAAGAGGGAGAGCCTACTATATCAGAAACGAGGAACCCTCCAGCTCAGGTCTACACACTTCTGTCAGCCAGCCCTGATTTCCCTTCCAAACCCGTCCTCCCCTCAGGAAGTGTCTGAGTAACAAAATCAAGGAAACCTGACTTGGTTTCCTAAAAAGAAGTCTTCTCACTGAGGGAGTAGCTTTTTCAAGAATGCAGAATGGAGTTGTGGGGGGGAGAGGGTCCAGGGGCAGCAACTCATCTGGGGCTCAGGATTTTACCTGCATACGTTTGCAGTCCATCAATCAGTCAGCATGCATTTGTTAAATGTTTACTATGTGCCTAGGCCTGGGAATACAGAGACAATAAGAAATGGTTCTTGGCTTTAAGGAACTCACAACCCACAGTTAAGCGAGACAGCATGCAGATACTATGTATATACAAGATGTCTATGTCTATGACTATGTCTGTATAGTATAAATGGGAGGTCATTTCCAAGGAAAGGCACCAGGAGGGAGCAGTAGGAATATGGGAAAAAGCCTCTTGCAGAAGGTGGCATTTCAGCTGAAGGAAACCAGAGAAGCCAAGGGCAGAGGTGAGGAGGAGAGAGCATTCTCTAAGCAAAGGAGACAGTCCGTGAAAAGACACAGAGTCTGGAAATGAGGTCATCTGTGTGAGGAACAAGCAAGAAGGTCATTGTTACTGGATTATAGGATATATGGAAGGTAGTAAAGTGTACAGCACACCCCCTTTGCCCACCATTACCCCATCTGGCTCTCTTGCTGCTCACACCAATGCAGCAGAATCCCAGGTTCCCTCTGAGTCATAGACCAGTTTGAATGCATCTCAGAGGCTGCTCTTGGGGACTGTGGCCTCCTCTGAGACATAGAGCAAAAAGTCGAGAAAGTTTGTTTCTAAATCTTTTTGGTGGCTTTGACCTGGTGCATGGAATCTGTGTCTTCTCTGCTGTATGAGTGTATTTTCATTGGACCTATGTGGACTGTAGACAAGTCATTTTCTCTCCTTGAGGATCCTGTTCACTAACTGCGAGACTCTGGGCAAGTCAATTAACTTCCCTTCACCTCAGTTTTGTTGTGTGAAATAAGGGCATTGGATTAGATGACTTAAGGACTTCTTTCAGCTAGGTGGCGTGAGGCCAAGAATATTGGACATGGAGTTGGGAAGACCTGAGTTCATATTCCTGACTTGGTCACAGCTATGAGACTCTGGGCAATAGTCAGTCTATCAATGAACATTTATTAAACACCTACTATGTACCAAGCACTAGAGATACAAATATAAATTTTACAAAATAACAGCTTCTCCCCTCAAGGAGCCTAAGGGAAGTTGCTTAACTTCTCTTTGTCACAGTTTCTTCCTATATAAAATGGGCATGATAGCGCATACCTCCCAGGGTTGTTATCAGGATCAAATGACATAACATATGCAAAGCATTTTGCAGGTCTTAAAGCACTATATAAATGCTAGATATTATCGTCATCATCATCATCATCATCATCATCACCTATGAATCTGTGATCTGTAAAACAAGTGTGTTGGAATAGATGATGCTAAAGTCCTGGCTTCAAATCCCACTTCGGACTCTAAACCTGTGTGACCTTAGACAAGTCACTTAACTTCTTTGGCCCTCAGTTTCCTTATATGTAAAATGGGGATAATAGTACTTATCTCCCAGGTTGCTATTAGGATCAAATGAGATAACATATACAAATCACCCTGTAGACGTGAAAGCACTATATAAATGCTAGTTATTATTATTGTTGTTATTATTATCATCTATGAACCTATGATCTGTAAAATGAAGAGGTTGGTCTAGATGACTAAGCTGCTGGGTTCAAATTCTGCTTCTGACACTACCCATGTGACCTTAGACAAGTCACTTCTTTGGGCCTCAGTTTCCTTAACTGTAAAGTGAACTATATGTAAAATAAAATGTAAAATGGAATAGATGATTTTAAGAACCTTTCCATCTTTAAAACTACGACTGTATTATTATGACCCTATGATCCTTTCCAGCCCCAATTGCTCCTAAATGGTCTGAATACAAAGAGAGACCTTGGAATGGGGTCTATGGTAACTCTAAGCTAGTCTGTGGCAGCAACCTAGAAGTTTGTTTCTTGTTTTCCTCTGTGGTGCTTTCGATAACTTTGTATTTTAACTCCCCCCCCGCCCCCGCTCAATTCTAGGCATCCCTTAAAATTGCCCATCCCTAAGAGCCTCCTCCTGCAGGAGACGTTTACTGTGGACAAAAACCAGAAGTACTACATGTTGGAGACCAAAGTCTTGGTGAATGGGCTGGAGGAATGCCTGCAGACCCTGACCCTGGGCTACCAGGCTGACTGCCCCTATGTGAGTGGGCCAAGGAGACTGGGCTGGAGCAGGGGAGGATGGGATAGCTGAGACGGGGAGCTGCGTAAGCCAATAAATGCACAGATGCATGTGCGTTCCTTATAGATCTGCGTTACTTTGACTCATCCATACAACAGCAAGGTCATTCCCAAGAGCATAGACACGTGTTTGTTGACAAAGATTCGACAAAGCGTAAGTGAAATCCTTGACAGGGCCATGGGATGGGGTGCAGGGAGGGGAGAGAAACTCTTTGATATTGAAACCTGTGCCAACCATGACTCAAAGGTTCCTGGCATTTGGGCTTGCCCCAGAATTCTCACTGAGGAGGGAAGGTGAGGAAGGTTTGTCTTTTCAGAGAAGTGAAGGAGACAGGATGCTTTCTGGTGAGAAAAATTCAGTTACTATTCCTTAAACAGATATTTCATCATTCTACATCCTTGTTAAGATCCCATAATACTCTCTTTTTGCTGGCCAGGCCAGGTCTAAACTTACGGTGGTGCTGGAAAAGAGTCTGGAGACCTGGATCTGAATCTTGGGTCCTATCATTTATCAGCTATGTAACCATGGGCATGTTCTTGGGTCTTTTTCTGGGCCTCAGTTTTCTTCTCTGCAAAATGAAGGCGGTGGAATAAATGAGCTCTAAGGTCCCTTCTAGATTTAAGGACAGTGACTCTGGAATCAGAGGACCTGGATTGAAATCCTGCCTCTGATGAGCGCTACTACCTTATATGCCTATAGGTAGGTCACTTGTCCTTCCTGGGTCTTAGTTCCTCATTGACTGACTCTTTGTGACCCCATTTGGGGTTTTCTTACTGGAGTGGTTTGTCATTTCCTTCTCCAGCTCGTTTTATAGATGAGGAAACTGAGGCAAACAGGGTTAAATGACTTGCCCAGGGTCACACAGCTAGTAAGTATCTGAGGCCAGATTTGAACTCAGATCTTCCTGACTCCAGGCCTGAGTTCTAGGTGCCTGCTAGGACAGTGGAAAGAGTGGTGTTTTGTTTTTTTGGGATTTTTTTTGGAGTCAGAGGACCTGGGTTCAAATCTTATTCTGACACTTATTACCTATGGGACCTTGGACAAGTAATACTCCTCTGGGCCTCAGTTTCCTTATTTGCAAAATGAGGGGGTTGGACTAGAAATAGCTTTCAAGCTCTAGATTTATGAGCCTATAATTCGCCCCTGTGCATGTGTGTGTGTGTATGTGCATAACAGAGAATCATCACTTTGTCATGAAGAGCTGTATTCAAATCCTGCTTTTGACACATACTGGCAATTTACTTAAACTCTCAGGGCTTTAGGCAGCTGGCTCTTCAAAGCTATCAAGTTGCAGAGAACATGCTGACTTGCATCAATAAAGTTCTTTGCCATGCATAAGGGGACATGTGCACATATACACATATGTGCACACATATGTACCCACATGTATATGTGCACACACATAAACATATGTTTACATACAGCATATGTAACTACTTGTTCAATATCCATTTGGAAAGGAGTGGTTTGTAACAGCATTCACATCTTACTTCTATACCCAGGGTAACCAGGAGGTCGAGGCTGCTTTGAAAGTTAACCAGAAGGATATTCTGCATTTGAAGGGAAGACACCGTAACAGGTCTATGGAAGGAAATTTCCGTCATGATGTGAACTTGGATTTGACCCATTCAACTCAGGTATCCAAGGTTATGTGACTCCCTCCTGGCTCTGGCCTCACCTCAAAGTCTCTCAGCTCTCTCTCTCCAGAGGAATGAATGTCACTGAATGTGTTTTTTCCTCAGCTGAGGATCCCCCAGGCACTGGGCCTTCATGGTGAGATCTTCTTTACGCAGCACCCAGAGGGAGAGTTTGACTGTGGTGTAGCTCTGCAAGCTGCCATCAGCCAGAAGGTCACATCTCAGGTGGGGAAGCTGACCTATCCCTTCCTCTGGTTGTGGAAAAGAAGCATGGTTCTGTTTTATTCTGGGTTTCCAAGTTCCTTTCTGAAGGGAGGGTTTTGGGGGATAAATCAGTTTTCTCCTGTAAATAGGCCAAGCAGAAAAGACCAGATCTTCTGCTGTCCAAGCAGGTCTAAGTGAACATATAGGCTTATTGGGAGAGGGAGCTTGTGATAGGCAGGGGGAGGTGAGGTTGAAAAATGATAGAATTTGGCAATCCTAGATTTATTCTTTCAGCTTTTCACAAGTCTCTCAAATGTTATCTTCTGAACCTTCTTCTGTGTGCTGTGGGGATGGTGGGTTGTATGGTTTAAAGGCTTGGAATTTCTTTTCCTCTGGGTTTTTGTGACTCTGTTCCCTCTTGGTTTTCCTACCTGGTTTTTTTTATTAGTCTCCTCTACCACACCCCCTAACTGTAAATGTCTCCCAAAGGTCTGTCCTGGATCCTCTTCTCCCTAGATTTCTCAATGTGTCAACTCACACATTTTATTGATGAGGTAACTCAGAACCAAGGAGGTTGTCACTTGAATCTCTTCTATCCTGTCCTTGTAAATCGCTAACTCCCTTTGGGGCATTTAAATCAGCAAAACAATAAATAAAGTCTTGATTTACTGTAGCACATGCCAATTTCTGAGGTGTAAAAGCTGACATCGGTAAATTTAACAATCAGCTCTTAGAAGCCAGTACAAGCTGGCTTTAACACACTGCTGCTTCCCCAATTACCTTGATTATATTTTGCGTATACTTTTATGTGTACATGTTGTCTCCCCTATTGGAATGTAAGCTCCTGGAGGGCACAGGCTGTCTCATTCTTGTCTCTATATCCCAAGTGTCTGGGATACACACTGTGTGTGTGTGCTTGATAAATGCTTTTTGATTGGTTCATCTTGAATGGCAGAAGGTTCCTGGTGTTGGCCTGAATTAAGTTTTGGGTGAACTTTCTGCCCTGAACCTCCAACACAAAGGCCTCCACTGGGCTCCTAAGAGTACCCAGCTCAGCTCTTTGATTTTTCTTCCTCTCTCCTCTCATCCCTGCAGTTCTTGCTTCAGCTGAACGGATCCAAGTCTCACTTTGGGTTTTTCTCCCAACTTAGGCATCCTGCCAGGGTGACACTTCCTCCAAATTTCCAGGTACTGTATCATTGGTGAAATTCCAAGTAGCATCCCTAGGAAAGTGTTTCACATGTGATCTGGGGAGCTGGGGGATGAGGATGCAATCAAGGAGGTTCTATTTTTAAAATGCTGCTCTTGGGGTGGGGGGTGGGGAACCCAAGGTAGATCTGAAACAAAAACAGACTCTGCCAGGTTTTCTGTTATTTTAACCTTTCAGAAATGGTCAAGGTTTTTTTGGTTCTTTATAGGGTGAAGTAGTTCAAACTTCCTCTTCATGTCTCCTCTCCCTTTGAAACACAGGAAGAGAATGTCCCAAGAGACAGTCATTTGTACGATGATGAAAGGTGTTATGGGACGCTGCTCTTGCTAATAACCATCCTAATCACTTTGCAATTATTATCTCATTTGATCCTAGCAACCACCTGGGGAATAGGTGCTATTAGTATCCCCATTTTGTAGATAAAGAAACTGAGGCAACCAGACATTAATTGACTTGCCCAGGATCACACAGCTATGAAATATAAGAGGTCAAATTTGAACTTGTCTTTCTGATACAAGGTCCACACTCTCTCCATTGTGCCATCTGGTGAATAAAGTACTGGTATGGAAATGGCAAGACCTAGGTTTGAATCTCACTTCTGTAGCTTACTGGCTGTGTGACCATGGCCAGTCACTTAACCTCTGAGCCATATCTATAAAATCAGAATAATAAAATCTACCCTATGGGTTGTTTCATGGTTCAGATGAAATAATATAAGTAAGGAACACACTTTGTACCCTTTAAAGTGCCATGTAGACATCCCTCCTAGAGAGAGATTTAATTTTGAGAAAACAAAGTGGATCAGGTTGAGCAAAGTGTTTAATGTCCCTGAGATGGGAGGGAGAATTAGTTTTAGGGTTCACTTGGTCTACTACACCTGAGCAGAGGTACTAGGACTGACTCAGTCCAAGGTCTCTCTGTTCTCAATAAAATTTAATAGGTAGTGATTTGGCATCTACGTTGTGTTTGTCACCTAGGGAGACATAAATGAAGTATTCATTCATTCAGCAAACATTTATTAATCTCCTACTTGGTTCAGAGTGTTGTTTGAGGTGCTGGGGGAGTGATTTGTTAATGACCCTTCACTAATGTAGCTTGGAGTCCAGGAGGGGGATAAGGCACACAGGTAATTATAACGCAGCGTATTACGTGCTAAATGCATTCTGGGAAGCTAGGTGGTGTCATGGATAGAGCGCTAGGTCTGGAGTGACGAAGACGAGTTCAAATCTGGTCTCAGACACTTAACTAGATTTGTAACTCAGTTGCAAAATGGGGATAATAATAACACCTACTACTTAGGGTTCTTAAGAGGATCAATTGAAATAAAGTTTGTAAAGCACAATGCCAGACACATAGTAGGTGCTTAATAAATGTTTTCTTCCTTCCTTTAAAAATATGAGAATTTGTGCATTTAAGGAGCTTAAAACCTATTTCTAGTGTTTTATTAATGCCTTTTTTTAAACTCCACAATTACTCTTACTGGAATTGACTCTACCCAATAGAACTTTCCCTTATAACAAAGAAAAATAACAGTAGAACCAACTGATGCAGCAACCACCCCGACAGTATATACAATACTTGTCCACCACAGGCCATCACCACTGTACTAGAAGGAGGGAGGTATATTTCATCATTGGCTCTCTGGAACCAATTATATTTATTATATTTAATTATATTATAAATAATATATAAACATATATATCATATATTAATATTTTATATATTAATACATGCTACTACCTATTATATAGTAATTAATATATAAATATATTTATATATTAATTATATTTAATCTGACCTCTGATATATTTTAGTGTTTTCATTTATATTAGTGTAGTCTTTGTGTTTTGTTGTTGTTCAGTTGTTTTAGTCTTGTCTAACTCTCTGTGACCCCATTTGGGGTTTTCTTTGCAAAGATATTGGAATGGTTTAACATTTCCTTCTCCAGCTCATTTTGCAGATGAGGAAACTGAGGTAAACAGATACTTGCCCAGCATCATATAGCTAGTAAATGTCTGAGGCCAGATTTGAATTCAGGAAGATGAGTCTTCCTGACTCCAGGCCTGGAACTCCATCCACTGAGCCATTTAGCTGCCCCAGTCCTTGTATAGAGCTTAAAATCTATTTGAGTAGACAAATTATTTGACAAGGTAGCTAACAATACCAGAATGTATATGATAAATGTCATGTAAAGCCCAAAGACAAAGTGTTTTCAAGTTCACAGGATAGAGCAATCCATGTGGAAGTGAGCTGGAAAGACTTTATGGAGGAGTTGGAACTTGAATTAGACTTTGAAAGATAGGTGGGCTTTGGATAGACCTCCCTTTCTCTTCTTCCCCAAACCATGCCTCCTTTATGGCTCCCCTCTGCTGTAACCATTTTGACCCTTTTGCCTCCATCCGATCCACCCTTTAGGTCCAGGCTGCCGGTAGGCATCACAAAGATCGAAGCATCAATGGTTCCTTATCTGTGCATGCCTCAGGGAAGGAGCTGGCTCTGCTAGAGGCCAGCATGAGCAGAGAGAACAGGAAGAGCTCCCAGGGATGGGATGTGAGCGCTGTCCTCCGACAAGTCATCTTCACCGATCCCAGGGCAGTATGGCTACAGCTGTCCAGCAAGGTCACTCCAGCAAGGTAATAGCCTACAAAAGCTAGTGCTGTAGTGCTCAGCAAAAGGTTTGGTGAGTAGAGGAGATGATTGAATGGACACTCAAGGCCATACTGTATTAGGGCGTTGCCTTTTTGAAGATATCCAGGCCACAGCTGGATGTACGCCCTCCACTCACAGTTACTTATGGTGTTATGTGTTCCATGACAATGATGGTAGGTGCCCCATTAATATGGCCCTTGAGAGAAAGATCTCACTGCTCAGTTATATTTCTCCTATGAACATATTTGAAATGTCACTACTTGAAATTCATTCCTTTGGGTTACAAGTTTGCCTCTGGTGTGGAGTGAGTTAGCATGTCCACTTTATAATGTAGAGAAGGGCAATGTGTTAAGCTCTTTGCCTTTTGAATCTCTATCCCTCTTTTTAAAATGCAATTCAAACACTGCTTTCTCCATCTCTTCTACTTTTTCCCCGAAATCTTCCCTAATTCTGGAATGTTAGTGACCTTCCCACTTGCATGTCACAAATTACTTGATTTTGCCATCCTTTAATGCATTTGTCATGTAAAATTATGTTATCGTTACCTGCATTTGTATCTTATTTTTCTATTAAATTATAAGCTTCACAAGGAGACTGTGTTAGCTAAATTTTCTATCTCCCCCAGTGCCTAACATACTGTTTTGCAAGTGGGAGGTGTTTGTTGAATGCATGAATGAATAAATGAAGCTGTCATTCACACTCTAGTATAGAGCTAGACTGTATTAAGGATATCGGGAGATAAAAAGTCAAGTATGACACAGCCTCTGCATTTAAGGAGTATATAGGCTATTAGGGGAAGTAAGACATGACCAGGAATAAATGCAGAAAAAAAAAAACAAGGAAAAATGGGAAAGTATAAGAGAGGTACAAAGTATATTGAAGGTTCAGAAGAGAAAGAGGTTGTTTCTAGTTAATGAAGAGGAGTCAGGAAAGACTTCATTCATGGTGATGGTCCTTGGGCTGAGTTGTGAAGGATAGATAGTGATTGGATTTGCAGAACTGGAGAGGAGAGCATTTGCTTGCCTCCCGACAGAGGTCTGAGGGAAGTTACAGAGAGAATAGGAATGTTGGTGGGGAAAAGAGAAAGGAAAGATTTGGTAGTACAGTGGCTGACTAGGCCATTATACTAGGCTGCTATAGATTAAGTAGGTAGTGTGATTCAATGGAAGAAGAACTAGATCTCGGATCATAGGATCTGGGTTTAAATGCCATCTCTGATGCTTATTACCTGCACGATCCTGGGTAAATCAACTTTTCTGGGCCTCAGTTTTCTCATCTGCAAAACAAAGAGATTGAGCTAGTGGTCCACTGAGACCACTTCTAGCTCTAGTCCCTTCTATGCTCCTATGTCAGGAAGTGGCATGGGTACGTTGGCTTAAGAAGGTCCCAGGAGGGAAGAGAGGGGCCCCGAAGAGGAAGGGAGAGACAAACTTCATCTCCTCCATTGTTTTGTACAAGGCATGCTCTGCCCCTGGCTTTAAAGGAAATATCCAGGAGCCTTAGACCTTTGGGATTGGCTGTGGTCACTCTGACCCCAACAATTTGTCTTTTTTTGCTTCTAGGGTCTGGTTCTTTACTAAGATGATGATCAATCAGAACAGTGCCCAGCTATTTTTCACAGGACTCAAGGAAGAGAAGGTGGGACCCATCCTGTCCCTAAAGGGCAGAGTCCAGCACAATATTGACAGTTGGGGGGCTGTCCCAAAGCTCCTCGACCTCACCGGATCTCTCAAACGGAAGAACCACAGCAATGAGGGTGTGTCTTCCTTCACAGCCTGCAAGGGGGAGTCTGAGAAATCGCTCCAAAGTGGAAAACTTAAGGAGGAGACAATCTTCAGGTTGGAGGGACTTTGAGAGAGGCACTTAGTGAAGAAACATCTACTGAAACTCCAAAATACAGAGACCCTAAAGGCTGTTTGACTTCTACCATATAAATGAACAAACAGCCTTAGAGGTCTCAGAGTTTTGTTTTTTAAGTATCTCCTCTGTACCAAACCCCCAAATCCTTTCATCTTAGAGTAGAAACCCTAGTTCTACATCTGTGCCATTTCAGGCACTACTTGAAGATGTCCAATAGGGAAATAAGGCAAAAACACAGTTAACCATAATGCACAATATTACATGACAGGTGCACCAGAAGGGTACAAGATAAAATCCATTGTGAGGTCAGTCAATTGACAGGCATGTGTTAAGTGCATACTATGTGTCAGGTTCTGGAGACACAAAGAAAGGCAAAAAGGAGTTCCTGCTCTTCAGAAGCTCACAGTCTAATGATGGAGGTAACATGCAAACAGTTTTGTACAAACTGAATATAGATGGGGATGAGTCTTACGTAATCAGAGGTATTAAAGGGCATTGGGAAAGGCTTCTTGTTGAAGGTGGGGTTTTAGTTGGGACTTGAAGGAAGCCAAAGACTTCTCTCCATCTCCTGGCGTGCAGAGAGGAAAGTCACTGCCAACAACTGGTAACAAAGGAGAAGTCAGTAGCACTAGCCCAGCACTGGATACCTAAATATGTGTTCAGAGATAGGGACTGGATGTGTGATTTCATTGGTTTAGGGAGCTCCTGGAGCTCCCTCTGCTAATGCATATTGGCACCTTCTCTGTAACATTTAGTCTTGGAAAATTGCCTAGAATACTGAGAGGTCAATAACTTACCCATACAGTATAGGGGAGGCTGTTGAGGAAGAATGGGGGTCAAAGTGAAAAGTTGAGGATATGAACGTGAGTAACTGGAAGGCTTGTGATATGGTTAATAGATGTAGGGATGTTTTGAGAAGGGGTAGGTTTAGGGGGAATGATCATGAGCTCTGTTTTGGACGTGTTAGATTTGAGGTGTTGATGTGACATCCAGTTGGACATGGTTAGCAGGTATTTGGCAATATGGTATTGGAGTTCCATAGAGAGAACAAGGTTGGATAAATGGCTTTGTGAGTAATCTGGGTAGAAAAGATAGAGTCAAGAGAGAAAAGACAGAAAAAGAAGAGAAAAGGACTTAGGACAATGCATTGGGATGGACACCTATTTAGAGACTAGAGATGGATGATGATTCAGCAAAACAGACTGAAAAGGAGTGGTCAGAAGAAAGCCAGGAGAAAGCAGAGTCAGAGAAACCGATGACAAAGAATTGGCAAGAGGAGAGATATTTATCTGTGTCAAGCGCTGCAGATAAGTCGAATTCAAGTGCTGGGTTTTTTTAAGTGGGAGCAGGTCTGGATATATTTGTAGGTAGAGAGGAAGGAGCTGATAAATAGGGGAAAACTGAAGAGAAGGAAAGAACGATGAAAAGGTCAAGTTCCCAGGGAAGATGGGAGGAAATCAAATCAAAGGCACAAAGGCCAACAAAGGTGTTGGCCTTGGAAAGGAGAAGGAACATGAACTGAAAGTGACCTAATGTGGCTTAGAACTATGTAGTATATGAGAAGAGAAAACTCACTGCAGATGGTACTGGGATTTTTATTTTATTTTTAGTAAAATAGGTGTCAAGACATTCTGCTGAGAGGAAGAGAAGACAAGATGTCATAGGGAGGCAAAGAGAGAGAGAGAGAGAAGATTTGGGACAGCTATTTGAAGAAGTGCAATATAGATGGTCATTCGGAGAAGGATAAGAGGATTGCTATTCATCGGTGAGGGCCCAGTTGAGATTAGGTCACATGAATTTATAGTGGACACTGTCAATTCAATTGTGTGGCTTATAGCAGTGCTCAACAGCATAGGAGAGAAAGCAGATAGCAAGAGTAAGCCAGGGATGGGGTTTGACAAGTGGTGAATGACAATATGTCAAAGGAGCAAGGCATCCATGAAGAGACAATGGCAGATGGTTGAATTTGTCAACTTTGGGCAGAGCTCTAACTAGGAATTGGAAAGCCCAATGGGAACACCAACTTTGTAATTCATGATTACATGATACAAGTAATTAAGTAAAAATGACACAAATAATTAAGTCACATTCAGTTGAGTGGGAGGATAGACCTCAGGATACTAGATCCTTGGGGGGAAGATACCCTAAGACACTGGTCTTTCAGTGGGGAGAGACTCTGAAACACAAGCCTTAGGAGGGAGGATATCCCCAAACTCTAAAAGGCAAGCAGAATAGGGCCATGCCAGAAAGAAGCTAACCTATGGTACTAGCTCTGGAGGGAGGAAATATGCCATCTAGTAGCTAATTTATCTAATTACTTTTGCTAATTAGATGTCAAGTTCAGTTGCTTCTGGGCTATCAAATTGCAAGGGTTCTCAAAATGTAAAATTAGGTCATTTTAAAATCACACAATCTTTTAAAATCATTATTGAAACTTTTTTTTTTTATTCTTTCCACTTTGGTGCCCTCGGACAAAGCTCAAGTTGTTACAGTTCCAGTTCTAACCATAGGGTCAAGATTATGAAGAAAGGAAAGTGAAGAGAGAGCAGGTGTGGAGGACTGAGAAAAAAGAGGAGGTGACCTCAGGGTCATGAAAAATAGTTTTAAGTGAAAAATAAAGGGTGATATGGAAGGACAGAGGGTAATAAACAGAGAGGGGAATTTCAGAGTTCAGGATGATAGAGGTAACACAGTTATCAGTGATAATGAAATCTTAGATGTGATAGTACCTGAGTATGGCTAAGATGGAGTGAAGATATAGGTGATGGGAGCTGAAGAAGTTGCTTTGTGGTGTATGAATGTGTGTGTGTTGTTTTCAGGGGGACAACGATTTGTACATCAAAGACCCCAAGTATGAGGGCTGGGGTAGTTAGGAAGATGGTCATCCAAGTGCTGAAATCCTTGAGGAAGGAAGGAGAGTGACCTGGAGGCTGGGATCTGAATTAGGTGGTCTAGACAGATGGAAAGGGCCTCAAAGCAAGCTAATGGCTAGTGATGGGCAAAAAGATGTGCTCTCCAAAGGACAGTGAGGAGCAAAGAATTCGCCACCTCCTCATAACCTAGGATCTTGGGGCTATGAGAAAAGGAGCTCCTTATCTGGAGAACATGGCAAGGGATATAGGAAATTGTGTTCTTCTCCTACTCCTCTGTGTTGAATTGAGCAGTCGCACTTCCTGTTTCCCACAGGGAACCTCAGCATCCTCATTGATGATGCCATGTTTGGGCTGCGTCTAAGGGACAAACATGTGTCGGGGAACAGCAGCGTGCATAGTGTGACCTGTGTGATAATTCAGAATGGCAGTTGGGCCATCCCTGACGAGCTTAAGCTGAGGGGACAGCTGCAGACCCAGCCTGATGGCTACCATGTCCATGCTACCTTTCACGCAGATGAAACCACTTTGTCCCTGGGCACAGCCTGCATCATAGCTCCAGGGCAGAGGCAGCTCTCTGCCAATCTGGCCCACAACAGTAACAATTTAAGAAATTCAGGTAGGGAAGGCAGAAAGAACCCTGACCTACACTGGGGATGGTTTGGGGTTAGGGTGGGGGAGAAGGGCAGCTACACTCTCCCAAGCTCCTGTTTGCTTCATGAAAATCTAACCAACTCTCCACTATCCAAAGTAATGGAAGACAAATCTCCTCTCCTTTCAACACTGGCACTGCTCTTGAGGAAATGGACTGGGCTGTTTTTCCTAATGGTCTCATCATCTCCATTTCTCACATGTCTATTTGTGTCTCTTCCCATCCAGGACTGCCCATGAATGGAGCGATTCTGTTCTCCCATACCTACCTTGCTCCCAACCACAGGCTGACCCTGGGGCTGCAGAGCAATGAAAGCCATATTGATGCTGCCTTTAGGGTAGAAGTTCCTTCTGGGGAATTCCCAGAGGCCCGTATCACTGCCAACCTGAGCCACAATGTCGAGGACCTTAGGCAGCTTGGTATCCCCTTTTTGGTTGAAGGAGACTGTTATTACCAAGTGAGTAATTACTTAATGTGGGGTCTTATTTGACAAAAGGATGTTTGAGAGTGAGTGAGGATGAGGAGGAAAGACAAGGGCAGATGTAAGATGCTTGGCTGATCTCAAATCCCTAACAGTAAATTACAATGGGGCAGCCCTCAGGTCAGACTGCAGAGTTTTTCAGTGACCTTCCTGCTTATTACAATTGAGAAGGTGGGAAAGAAAAGAGGTCTGCTGGTCCTCATGGGGTGTGAGCTCTGAGTAGGGAAACAACCATGGATCCAGGTTCAGGTCCTTGGCTTTGTAGATTTAGAAACTTGGTTTTATCAGTTCACCCAGGAGACTGGGGTACCCACTAGCAAATGAGAGGGCCAGTTTTTTAATTTCCCATGGGATTTGAGAGGTAGTGTTACATAGGGGATAGAGAACCAAATATTGCATCAATGAGACCTGGATTCCAGTCCTGCGTCTGAAACATACTGGCTTTGTGACCTTGGGTAAGTCATTGAATCTGTTTGTCCCCCAAACACCTCCATTGCACAACAATTACCAATCTGTCTTGGTAAATGGAATTTCCTTGTTGGAAGTTTCCTCTGCCAATAAAATCATAGGTATAATTCAAAAAATAATTATCATAGGAGATTTATGTGGCAAGATCATTTGAAATTTATTTGGTAAGTAGGTAGAGCATTAGATTAGAGGGGTTTAAGTTATGATATAAAGCATACTTGATTTGGTTACCAGGAGTTCTGCTACTTACTACTTGAATGACCTTAGATAAGTCATTTTCTCTGTTAGTTTGCTCACCTATGAAACTAGGGAATTGGGCTAAAATACCTCTCAGTCCTAAAATGCCACTCACCTATGGCCTAGATGCTCTTAAGAGATATTTCCACCAAATTGTGGTAGCTTGTCCGAGTACCCTTTTTGCTTTCTGGGCATATTTCTAACATAACCATCATTGGTTATGAGTGAGGCACCATGGTAGTGAGGTGTCATAGACAGTAAAGTGTTGGATTTGGAGTAAGGAAGATCTGAGTTCAAATTCTGCCTCAGGATGAGTCACTTTTTGAAAAAATATGTAGTATTTTATTTTTTCTCAATTACATGTCAAGAAAATTTTTAACATTCATTTTTTAAAAATTTTGAGTTCCAAATTTTCTCCCTCACTTCCTCATCTCCTCCCTCCCTAAAATGGTAAGCAATTTGATACAGGTTATAAATGTGTCATCATGCAAAACATATTTCCTTATTAATCAGGTTGTGGAAGATGAGACAGACCAAAAAAACCCATGAAAAAAATTTAGTGAAAAATAGTATGCTTCAGTCTACATTCAGACTCCATCAGTTCTTTTTTCCTGGAAGTGGATAGCATTTTTCATCATGAGACCTTTGAAATTGTCTTGGCTTACTGTATTGTTGGGAATAGCTAAGTCATTCACAACTGATCATCGTACAATGTTACTGTTACTGTGTACAACGTTCTACTGGTTCTGCTCATTTCACTTTGCATCAGTTCATGTAAGTCTTTCCAGGTTTTTCAGAGAGTGTCCTGCTTGTCATTTCTTATAGCACGGTAGTATTGCGTCACAATCATATATAACAACATGTTCAGTCATTCCTCAATTGATGGACATCCCCTCAATTCCCAGTTCTTTGCCACCACTAAATGAGCTGCTATAAATATTTTTGTACACATAGACCTTTCTCCTTTTTGTTTTCTATCTCTTTGGGATACAGATCTGGTAATGATATTGCTTGATCAGAGGTGGCCTAGATGTTCCTAAGAGATATTTCCACCAAACTGTGGTAGCTTGTCCAATAACCCTTTTGCATTCTGGGCATGATTCTAAGATGACTCACTATTTATGAGTGAGGCAGCATGGCAGTGAGGCATTATAGAGAACAGTGTTGGACTTGGAGCAAGAAAGATTTGAATTCAAATTCTGCCTCAGACACTTACTAGCTTGTGACCCTGGATGAGTCACTTAACCTGTTTGCCCCGGTTTCCTCATCTGTAAAATGGGAATAATAATAATAATAGCCCCTCTCTCCCTGGATTGTTGTGAGGACCAAATGAGATAATAATTGTTAAGTCCTTGGTAGCATCAGTACCTAACACACAGTAAGCTCTCTATAAATGTCTGTAGAATGGGGATAATAATACCACCACTCACATAGTGCTATTGTGAGCGTCAATGGAGACAAAACATGTAAAGTGCTGTATTAATAAACAGTGGCTGTTGTGGTTGTTGTTGTGTGGTATAGATTAGGATTTGGAGTTAGAGGGTGTATGCTCAAATCCTGTCTCTGTTACTACCTGTCAACCTGTCTGACCTCTCTGGGCCTCAGTTCTGTCATTTGTAAAATAAGGGGAAGAGGGTTGGATTAGATGGCCTCTGAGGATCATTCTATCTCTATGATCCCATGACTTCTCTGGGCCTCCATTTCCTCATTTGGAAAAAAAAGGGAGGAGGGAGGGAAGGAGGAGAAGGACTGGACAACCTCCAAGCCCCTTCCATCTCTAAATCTATGATTCCAAAATTATATGGAAAAAACATTGGGGGGAAGCTAGGTGGTACAGTGGATAGAGTACCAGCCCTGGAGTCAGGAGGACCTGAATTCAAATCAGGCTTCAGACACTTGACATTTACTAGTTGTGTGCCCTGGGCAAGTCACTTAACCCCCATTGCCAAAACAAAACAAAACAAAACAAAACAAACAAAAAACAAACAAACAAAAAACATTGGATCTGAGCTTGCATTTCAACACTGCCACTCACAAACACACATTGCTATGGAATTTTGGAGGTTGTATTATTGCAGATAAAAGAAAACATAAATAATTCTAACATAAATTTTACTGACCCAGTGCATGTACGATGGTGCATATGGCATTCGAAAAATAAACAAAACTTGCCTATTGTCCACATGCACTAAACCTCAGAGCTCTGTCAGATTTTGAACTCAAAATTCAGTAAAAATCAGCTGCCCTTAGAAAAGGAAAACCAAGAACACTCAAGGCCCCTCTCTCCTTCCTTTGGTGTTGCTAGTTTAAACATTCAGAATGCCGGGATTCCTCTGGCAAAGACTACTCTGTTGTGAGGAGAAAAAGAGTTAGAGAAATGCTAGCTACCTCTCCAAGCATCAGTTTTACAAGCATCTGTAAAATGGGGTTAATAAAAATGCAGTTACTCCCTGCTTTGAGGGGATGTTGTGAGGATCAAATATATGCAAAGGACTTTGCAAAACAATAAGAGTACCTGACATTTATATAGTGCTTTAAGGTTTACAAAACTCTTTCCAGGTAATATCTATAAATATGAGCTATTGTTGTGTTTTCCCTCCCAGAAGTATTTGGATTTTGAGGAAGAAATTATATATATATATATATAGATAGATAGATAGATAGATAGATAGATAGATAGATACACACACACATACACACACACACATATATTCATATGTATATGTATAAATATGTATTCTTGGGTATTTTGAGAAGGAAATATATAGGTGTGTGTGTGTATATATGTGTGTATGTATGTATGTGTGTGTATATATATATATATGTATGTATGTATGTATGTATGTATGTATTTTCCTGGGGGTGGCATTTTAAGCCCAGCAGCAAGATGGTGGGAGAGGCTCACTGGGGTCTGGGGCCCTTTCCTTCATCCTTCAAAGCTTAATGATAGGCTGGGCAAAGGCCTGGGCTGGATCATTGTCACTTAGTCTTTAAATCCTGAATTGAGAGCTGGAGGGGCAGACCTTCCTCCTCTCCCATCAGTGTGAGATGGCATCAAAGGAAACAGGGAGTTGTCAGTTGTGTGTGAGTAAGGGACTATCTCTGTTGCTACCTGTCAACCTATCTCTGGCCCTGCTGGTGGCAGGAAATGGGGAGGGGATGAGCCCCTGGGGAGTAAGACTATTTCCCTTTCTCAGACTTCTCTTCCAGATCCTGGAATGAAGGCAGCAGGCAAAGTGAAGGAAACCTGGGACTAGAGAGTATAAGTGTGTGTAGGAGGCGAGACAGGGCATCTCTACTGAGAAAAAGCACAATTGGCTCTTATTAACCCTTCATTTTTGAAGACGCAGGTGATGTCTTTGATTTGGGCATGTATTGAATTTAAGTGAGACAGAGTAATGCAAAGTTGTTGGCCTCACTCTGTCTTCCTGAGTCATTGAAGTCCAGGGGCACAACAGAACAAGACAACTGGCTATGGCCCATCTTAGACATCGACCAAGTTCTCAGCTCTCCACAGCACCTGCTTCAGCTGTCTTCATGGCTATTGGAACAAATTGTTCCCGTCTGCCCATTCCATTGGGGAAGTCTTCACATGCTTGGGGTAGACAAACTCCTAAATCACCTACCCACAACCTGGTTTAAACAAACTGCAGAGTGTGGCCACTCTGTATGCTACATCTAACACTTGGTTAAAGAGGCAGCCAGCAACCTGGGGGAAAACTGGTGGAACAGGGCTGACTCCTCCCCCAGGAGAACCTGGAAGATGACTTATTGGTTTGTAGGCAGAATCCCTTCTCATTGAGAAAATCAATCTCACAGATTTACAGCTGGAAGGGACCTTAAAGGTCCTGGTCTTACCACAGTCTACCTTCCTCATTTTACAGATGGGGTAACTGAGGTACAGAAAGTTTAAGTGACTTGTCCAGGGATATACAACCAAATGTCTGAGGCAGGATATTAAAAGCCTAGGTCTCTTCCTCCTAATGGTTCTAATTCTTACTTACAACATCACTAATGTGAAAATATGTTTAATAGCAATGTATATGTATAGCCTATATCAGATTGCACTCCATCTTGGGGAGGGAGATGGGGAGGGAGGGGTAGAAAAATTTAAAACTCAAAAGCTTATGGAAGTGATTGTTGATAAATCAAAATAAATTAGTTTTAAAAAAAACAAACAAAATAAAGTAAAATAAAAACCCAGGTCTTCCTGGCTACAAGTTCAGCTCTCTTATCTACTATGCCTCGATACCCCTCCAATCACTTGGGCTTCTGGAGCCTCTCCCTCTCCTCCCCAGTACGATGAGGTCCTCTCACCATATTCACCAGTCCAAGGTCGGCCTGATGCTAGAATGTCTCCTGTTCCTCCAGTCTGCCTTCACTTTCTGTGTCCTCTCCTTTCTCTGCAATGTTCTTCCTCTCATCCTTCCAAATACCCAGTATCCCTTGATCCCAACCCTGTTGAAACACCCTGTCAACAAAGTCTCTGGTACATGTTATTGACAGCTCAGTATGAATGTAAATCACCTGGACCCCCTGGATGTAAATCACATCACAGGAGTATTTGAATTTTAAACATGATTTCTTGGTTTAGATCAAAGATCTCTTTAAAGAAATTTTAGTCAGGTGGGTAAGATATTTTGGGGACCTTCCCTCTACCCCTAAAAATGACATTCTGGGGGTAAATGACAGACCTTAAACCATCAGTGAGTTAGGGGAATGTCTACCCCAAGCATGTGAAGACTTCCCCTGGTAGAATGGATGGAGGAGAGGTTATTCCAGTGGCCATGAAGGTGGCAGAAGTAGGCACAGTGGAGCTTGGTCAGGCATAGAAGGTGCCAAGGT